CAGTCCTCATGGTAAAACCACAGTTACCATTGAATAAGTTTTGTTTGTTTGTTTATTTATTTATTTATTTAGAGAGAGGGGAGGGAAGAGGGAGAGAAAAACACTAGTACACTCCATGCTGAGCGTGGAGCCTGACACGGGTCTTGATCCCATGACCCTGAGATCATGACCTCAGCTGAAACCAAGAGTTGGATGCTCAACTGACTGTGTCACCCAGGGGCCCCACCTTTGAGTAAGTTTTAAAACAACTTACTAAAAAGATTTAGGATATCAATTTATTTATATATTTATTTTAATTCATTTTTTTTTTAGAGGAGAGGGACAGAGGGAGAAAGAATTTTTTTTTTGTTTAAGATTTTATTTATTTATTTGACAGAGAGATAGAGAGCACAAATTGGCAGAGTGGCAGGCAGCAGGAGAGGGAGAAGCAGACTTCCCGCTGAGCAGGGAGCCTGACGTGGGGCTCGATCCCAGGACCCTGGGATCGTGACCTGAGCTGAAGGCAGATGCTTAACCGACTGAGTCACCCAGGCACCCCGAGAAAGAGAATCTTAAGCAGGTTCCATGCCCAGTATGGAGCTGGATGTGGGGCTCAGTCTCATGACCCTGAGATCATGACCTGAGCCAAAATCAAGTTGGAGGCTTAACCTACTGAGCCACCCAGGGGCTCTGGAATATTGTTTTTATTGGCCTGTTTTCTCCAAGGGCTACATAATTTATATTCCAGAGTCAGTAATGTAAAACGAAAATAGACTTTTACCATCTAGGCATCCAGGAGCGGGGAGCCTGACAGCAGACTGGCTGAATGTAGTGGAGTGTCTTAAACTTTTGGGTGCAAGGAGCAGAAGCCCATTGACACAAGCTCTAGTGAAGGGGCCTTGCTATAAACCCTGGTGGGAGCCTAGAGCAGGGATGCAGTGTTCAGGGTTTGATGGAAACTGGAGATGGGGTGCCTGGGTGGCTCAGTCATAAGGCATCTGCCTTTGATTCAGGTCATGATCCCAGGGTCCTGGGATTGAGCCCCGTGTCAGGCTCCCTGCTCAGTGGGAAGCCTGCTTCTCCCTCTCCTACTCCCCCTGCTTGTGTTCCCTCTCTCGCTGTGTCTCTCTCTGTCAAATAAATAAATAAAATCTTAAAAAAAAAAAATAAAGCAACTGAAGAGCTGTCAGGATCTAAAGCTTTTTTTTTTCTTTTAAGATTTTTAAAAATTTATTTGTCAGAGAGAGAGCACAAGCAGGGGGAGTGGCAGAGGGAGAAGCAGGCTCCCCATTGAGCAAGGAGCCCAATGTGGGACTTGATCACAGGATCCTGGGATCATGACTTGAGCCGAAGGCAGACACTTAACCACCTGAGCTGCCCAGGCATCCCTAAAGCTCCTCCCCCCCAATTTTCATCCTTGCTTTTATCTGTGCGTGTTTATTCTCTGCTTGGTTCTTCAGACTGGGTTTTTTTTTTTTTTTTTTCCCCCTGCTTACTCATCAGTTTACCCAGGGCCCAACATGTTGGCTTTGTGGCCACACCAAGATGTGACCTCTCTCCACGAGCTTAAATTAATCACACTGCCCTGCCCCCAATCCTTTGATAAAGATAAGTGACATTTTTAATACTTTTATAAATGTTATGTGAATGAAGAGGCAAGAGACAACTCCTTTTCTTCACTCCCCATCAACTAACTTGTATCCCCTAAGGCGTCTTCAAAATGGAAATTCTGGAGCTGCCACTGGTAATGTCAGACTAACAATATTTATTTCCTTCCAAATGAGGTTCCCCATAGTTTCTGACTCTGGCTTTGTGACTCAGTGTTGCAGTTACAGATTACCAGGGAGAAACCTGATTTACCCTTGGGTTAATATCCACCCCATTGGGTGTAGTTACAAGGTCTAGACGTGGTCATCCAATCCTACCCCTGCAGTAGAGGCACTGGAAACCATTCCCAGAGAAGAGGGCATGGGCAGGTAAGTACAGAGGGAAAGGTTAAATGCCCTTATAGTCCTGACCTCTGGTCTCATCCATTTATGGGCAGATCCTCAGAGTTGGGGTCTTATCACGGATGTTTAATTACTCTTCCGGGTATGCTCTAAGAACGTGGAGTCTTACAGGAATGAGTCAGAAGTAACTTAGAACTGACTCAGAAAGAGATCTGCACGTTATTAGGAAGAGAAAGTGTCCTTTATTGAGCTGAAATATCTCTGTCAGGCATTCTGTAAGGACAAATGATGGCATATTGGCTGAGCTATTTAAGAAAACTGGTGTTAGATATTTGGGTAGTTAGGCCAAGTTTGTATGCTTTTAGTTTTCTGGTTCTCCAGTCTCTCCACCTGAGTATTAGGTCTTTGATCTTCCTTTCTAGATTGCGATTGCCTCCACAGTGAGTCTGTCTCTTTTTGATCTTCCTCCTTAGATTGTGATTACCTCCAGAGTAGGGCTTCTTAATCTCTTCACCTAGCATATTTAGTGCTTATCTGTGTTATGGCATTGAAGAAAGACTGAAGAGATGAAACTCATGGGTTCATGTGGGTCTGTTTTAAGTTTTAGTCAAGTATTCATTGGAGGAAAATGGAATTCGTTAGGTAAAATGATAGTCTATTTCTGTTATTTGGGGCACTCTGGGCCACGAGGGCCATAGATTATTTTGAGTTCTTTATGTTTCCTTTGTCCCTATGCTGATTTGGGACCTTGATGGACAGAGTGGGACCATTAGCGGTAGTAGATTCTGAACTGGCCTGCATTCAGTCATCTTTCTATAATTAGAACTGACAGCTACCACCCATGTTGCCCACCTATAACACTTCTCACTTTCCGTCTCTGGAAATGAGTCTTTGCTTTGTGTGTGTGTGTGTGTGTGTGTGTGTGTGTGTGTGTGTGTGTGTGTCACACATTTGTTTTTATTTTTGTTTTTAATCTTATTTATTTATTTGAGAGAGAGAGAGAATGAGAGATAGAGAGCACGAGAGGGAAGAGGGTCAGAGGGAGAAGCAGACTCCCCGCTGAGCAGGGAGCCTGATGTGGGACTCGATCCCAGGACTCCAGGATCATGACCTGAGCCGAAGGCAGTCGCTTAACCACCTGAGCCACCCAGGCGCCCGACACACATTTTGTTAATGTGCTTTATTTGTTAGAGCAGTTTCGGGTTTACAGAAAAAAGAGTGGAAAAGTACAGAGTTCCTGTATATCCCCACACTCCCACTCCCTCCCCCCAGTTTCCCCTATTGTTAATATCTTGATTTAGTGTGGTACTTTGTTTCAGTTGCTGAGCCAATATGATAGGTTTTTTATTTTTTTATTTAAAAAAATTTTTTTTAAAGATTTTATTATTTGAGAGAGAGAGGGATAGAGCGCAAGCAGGGGGAGCAGCAGAGAGAGAGGGAGAAGCAGGCTCCCTGCCGAGCAGGGAGCCTGATGCGGGGCTTGATCCCAGGACCCTGGGATTATGACCTGAGCCGAAGGCAGACACCCAACCGACTGAGCCACCCAGGCACCCCAGGTTTTTTAATTTTTTTTAAAGATTTTATTTATTTTTGAGAGAGAGGGCTCACGAGCATGAGCGGGGGAGGGGCAGAGGGAGAAGCAGATTCCCTGCTGAGCAGGGAGCCCAATGTAGGACTCGATCCCAGCACTCTGGGATCATGACCTGAGCCACCCAGGAGCCCTGATAGGTTATTTTTAACTAATATACATAGTTTACTAGTTTACATTAGGGTTTCTTCTTTGTGTTGTACCTTCTGTGGGTTTTGACAAAAGTATGATGACCTATATCCATCATTACAGTATCATACAGAATAGTTTCACTGCACTAAAAATTCCCTGTGCTCCACCCATTCATCCTTCCCCCAGCCCCTGGTGACCACTGATTGTTTTATTGGCTCTATAATTTTTTGCCTTTTCCAAAATGTCATATAATTGGAATCATATAGTATGTAGCCTTGTCAGATTGGCTTCTTTCACATAGCAATATGCATATAAAGTTCCTCAGTGTTTTTTTGTGCCTTGATAGCTCATTTCTTTTTATCACTGAGTAATATTCCATTGTATGGCTCTATCACAATTTTGTTTATCCATTGGCCCATTGAAGGACATCTTGGTTGCTTCCAAGGTTTGGTAGTTGTAAATAAAGCTGCCATAAACATTCGTGTGCAAGTTTTTGTGTGGAGGTAAGTTTTCAGCTTATTTGGGTAGATACCAAGGAGCATGATTGCTGATCAAATGGTAGAGTATGTTTAGCATTTGAAGAAACTGCCAGAGTGTCTTCCAAGGTGGTTTTACCATTTTACCTTCCCAGCAGCACTGAGTGAGAGGTGCTGTTGTTCCATGTACTCACCAGCATTTGATCCATAACTTATTTTGAGTTATCCATGCCTCATCTGCCCCTACACTGATTTGGGACCTTGCTGAGCAAAGAGGGATCAGGTAGTAGTAGTAGTAGGTTGTGGACTGGCCTGTTTAGTCATTTTTCTGTATTTCGAATTGACAGCTACCACCATTTCCCATTTATGACACTTCTCATTTTCTTCTGGATCTTCTCATCTGGAAATGAATCTTTTCTTTGGTTAGACTTTTGGATAATAATTGATTCCTTTTTTTCCATAACACAATTCTATAATAGGTCTGAGAGATGACTATAGGAATATAAGATCGTATTCTGGACCATCCTAGCCACTTAGAGTTTTTTTTTTTTTTTTTAAAGATTTTATTTATTTATTTGAGAGAGAATGAGATAGAGAGAGAGCATGAGAGGGGAGAGGGTCAGAGGGGGAAGCAGACTCCCCGCTGAGCAGGGAGCCCGATGCGGGACTCGATCCCAGGACTCCAGGATCATGACCTGAGCCGAAGGCAGTCGCTCAACCGACTGAGCCACCCAGGCGCCCTAGCCACTTAGAGTTAAAATTGGCACCATGATGTTTTTAATACTGAATTAAAATACTTTATGAAACATCTCATACCAGCGTATGCATTTTTCATATTTGCTGAAGGAATATAATTATCATAATTTGTTTTCATAGATTATCTTGATAATGGTAATAATAAAATGGCAATTCAGCAAGCAGATAAATTGTTGAAGAAACATAAGGATCTTCATTGTGCTAAGGTAAGTTCATTTGCTCTTGAGTTACTTATATTTGGTGGGTTATATATTATAATCTTAAAAGGGAAAAGATATTAAATCTGTTAAGGACTTCTTTCAGGTTTTTTTTCCCCCAGGTTATGTTTTGTTTTGTTTTTTAAGCAGGCTCCATGCCCAGTGTGGAGCCCAATGCAGGGCTTGAACTCACAACCCTGAGATGAAGAGTCACACACTCTACCAACTGAGCCAGCCAGGCGCCTCTCTAAGCTCTAAGCCATTTCTTTTTTAAAGATTTTATTTATTCATTCGAGATAGAGGGATACAGAGAGAGAGCAAGAGCAGGGGGAGAGGCAGAGGAAGAAGCAGGCTCCCTGCTGAGCCAGGAGCCGGACGTGGGGCTCAATCCCAGGATCCTGGGATCATGACCCGAGCCGAAGGCAGATGCTTAACCATCTGAGCCACCCAGGTGCCCCTAAGCCATTTATTTTTCTGATTACTTAAATGCCATAAATAGTATTTAATTAAAAGCTAACGGTTTATTTCTTTGGATATTTTGGACATAGCTAATTTAATTATTTTATATTGATAGACTTCTTTTTTTAAGCAACTTTGTGTCTTTTATTTATTTTTTTAAAGTAGGTTCCATGCCCAACATGGGGTTTGAACTCACAGCCTCGAGATTGAGAGTTGTATGCTGTAGAGCCTGAGCCAGCCACGTGCCCCTGTTCTGCCTTCTTAACATGACTGAATAGGAAAGACTCTTGATGTGCTGCGATTTTTAGTAAAATATGGTTTACTTGATCAGCAACCTAGGCGTACCTTACAGCTTATCTTGTGTTTTCAAGTTGGCCTTCTTTGGCTTATTTTTTTTTTAAGATTTTATTTATTTATTTGACAGAGCATAAGAGGGGGAGCAGGAGAGGGATTAGCAGGCTCCCCTCTGAGCAGGGAGCTTTGGCTCAGTTTCATTTCTGTCCTTTTAAAACTTATGTTTTCCTATGTATCAGGTTTTAAAGGCAATTGGTTTACAGAGAACTGGAAAGCAAGAGGAAGCCTTCATGTTAGCACAGGAGGTGGCGGCCCTTGAACCAACAGATGACAACTCGCTACAGGCACTGACTATTCTTTACCGGGAGATGCACCGACGTATGTTTCTTTTTCATTGTTTTTAAACCTGAGCTGTAGTTTTTGTTTCTTTCTTCTTCTTCTTCTTCTTCTTCTTCTTCTTCTTCTTCTTCTTCTTCTTTCTTCTTTCTTCTTTCTTCTTTCTTCTTTCTTCTTTCTTCTTTCTTCTTTCTTCTTTCTTCTTTCTTCTTTCTTTCTTCTTTCTTCTTTCTTCTTTCTTCTTTCTTCTTTCTTCTTCTTTCTTCTTTCTTCTTTCTTCTTTTTTTCTTCTTCTTCCTTCTTCTTCCTTTCTTCCTTTTCTTTTTTTAAAGATTTATTTATTTATTTTAGAGAGCGAGAAAGCACACAAGTGGGGGGGAAGGGCAGAGGGAGAGGGAGAGAGAGAATCTTTTTTTTTTTTTTTTAAAGGTTTTATTTATTTATTTGAGAGAGAGAGAATGAGAGCCAGAGAGCACGAGAGGGAAGAGCGTCAGAGGGAGAAGCAGAGTCCCTGCTGAGCAGGGAGCCTGTTGTGGGACTCGATCCCGGGACTCGAGGATCATGACCTGAGCCGAAGGCAGTTGCTTAACCAACTGAGCCACCCAGGCGCCCGAGAGAGAGAGAATCTTAAGCAGGCTCCACATCCAGCATGGAGCCCAAGCTGGGGCTCGATCTCATGACCCTGAGATCATGAGCTGAGCTGAAATTAAGAGTTGGATGCCTAACCAACTGAGCCACCCAAGCGCCCCAAGGTTTTGTTTATTTCTGATTGAGTTTTGTATTTGTTCATTTTACTTATCATTCATGTTTTGAGTGGATGGCAATAGGCAAAATAATGCATTAACCATGATTTACAAAGACTGTAGGCAGAAAGGATATTTTACGCGTATTAGTATCCTGAATTGGAATGAGTTGACGTTGGTTTGTGACATTTTGATTTACTGAATGGAAGAGTTATCCTTTTTACTATTTGATAGGAAAATTTCAAACATAAAAAAACCAGAACAGCATAATAAATCTCAGTGAACTCTTTATCCACCTTCAGCAGTCATTGTTTTTTAAAAGACAGAACTTAAGAGTTGGGTATTATATCTGATTATTTAGGGATTATGTTGATTTGGGGTTATGGATTCTCCCCCAGTGTTTTTTTTTTTTTTTTTAAACTGAGTCTTTTTTTGGTAAAGATTTTATTTATTTATTTGACAGAGAGAGACACAGCGAGAGGGAACACAAGCAGGGGGAGTGGGAGAGGGAGAAGCAGGCTCTCTGCTCTCTCTCTGGAAGCCTTGAGAGCAGGGAGCCTGATGCGGGGCTCATCCCAGGACCCTGAGATCATGACCCGAGTCGAAGGCAGATGCTTAACGACTGAACCACCCAGGCGCCCCCCCCCAGTGTTTTTTTAAAAATCATTTATCTCACAAATACTGAATATTTCTCTATGACAAGTATTGCATCCAAGTCAAAGATGAAAGGTGCTCTCTCTGCCCTTTTGTTACTCACAGTCTTTAAGGGGAAATTCAGGGGGACGTGGCTGGCTCAGTCAGTAGAGCATGCAACTTTTGATCTCAGGGTTGTGGATTCAAGCCCCACGTTGGATGTAGAGCTCAATTAAAAAAAAATAAGGGGAAATTCATCAATAGACTCTTTTCTACATTATGTGTTAATAAATGTTATAAGAGACTTGTTTAAAAAATTTAAAGATGGTGGAAGGAAGCAGTGATCAAACCGGGTGGAGGTGCAGAGATGGTGTTGGGGAAGGATTACATTTGAACTTGCACAGTTCCTTGCAGAGAGGATTACATTAGAGCTGGGTCTTGGTCTTGGATGATGTTCACTGAGTAGAAAAGAGAGGAAAGGAGAATCCAGGCAGAGGGAACATGCAGAAGTATGAAACAGCACTGGGAGTCTAGTGGAGCTACAAATAGTTTGAGGTGCTGGAACACGAAGTGCTGTGGGAAATAAGTAGGAAGGAGACAGAGAGGCTAGATCCTGGAGGGTCTTATTTAGGTATTGAAAATGTGTTGGGGAGGCCTGAGCTATTCCATGCTTCACTGAATAACACCCAACCAAGAGAAGAGTAATGATCAGATGAGGCAAAACAAATACTTTCTTCTTCCTTAGTGATAGGAGACATCTGTTTCCTCCAAAGGGGAAAAAAATTAAATGCTGTTAAGATTTAAGGTATACTGCAATAATTAAGGAATGTCCTCTTTCTCTTTACCCTAGCGGAGTTAGTTACAAAACTCTATGAGGCAGCTGTGAAGAAAGTTCCCAATAGTGAGGAGTATCACTCTCACCTCTTCATGGCTTATGCCAGAGTGGGCGAATATAAGAAAATGCAACAGGTAACTTGATTCCAAACCTCCTGGGCTGTGGGATTTGCTATTAGACGCAAGTCTTTTTAAATGTGACTTAATTGTAGGACTGTGTGTGCATGCATGTGGGTGTTTGCGTGTGTGTGTAGAGCCGAATCTCTGTATTTGTGTGTGATCAGGCAGATACTTTCTTGTGTGTTTTAAAGATGAACTATTATGCAAGTTCTTCAAGTGTTTTATTTGGGGAAATCTGATTGTTCTTTGGTGGCCTGGTGGTATGTTTTGTTTGGTTCTGGTAAGTTGGCTTCAAATTGTCCCACTGCATGAGATTGTTGTTATAGTTTCAGAAAATAGGCAGAAATCCCAGAACAAAAAATGAACAGACTATAGAAAGATTAACCTTAAAGTTTAGATCTAATTTGTAAATTTAACTCTTCGTAGCCTGCAGAGATTTTTAAATCCACCTGGGAAAACTCCTCACTGTTTAGGTACTTGTCTTTTTCATAGCGGCAGCTTATTTGCCAGTTAGCACGTTTTAGGTGTTGCTTATATTTAGATGTATGTGAAGGAACCTCATTTGGACTAGTGGGTGGGTAAAGTCAACATCCCAGAGAAATGAAACTGTTAAGCCCGTAAAGGGTTATGATGTCAAACTAGCATTTTTTTAGAAATGGCTTTGTTTGTGGGTATAATTTCTTCTGAAAGCAAAGCTTTCTTACTTGGGTTTTTATTTTGTCTTATTCTTTACTTGAAATATCAGACTATAACAACAGATAAATTAGGGAGGGTGGAAGGTACTATATTAATATAAATCCTTTCTCCTTAAAATTAATCTTTGTATTTGCTTATGCAAGGTTTTAAATTGGAAGAATTTTTTTCCCCAAATTTAATTCTTTGAAGAAGTTTTATTTACTGATGGAGTATATTCTCAGGAAAAATAATCAGATTATAATTTTTCTTTTTTTTTTTTTTAAAGATTTTATTTATTTATTTGACAGAGAGAGACACATCAAGAGAGGGAACACAAGCAGGGGGAGTGGGAGAGGGAGAAGCAGGCTTCCTGCAGAGCAGGGAGCCCGATACGGGGCTTGATCCCAGGACCCTGGGATCATGACCTGAGCCGAAGGCAGACGCTTAATGACTGAGCCACCCAGGCACCCCTATAATTTTTCTTTAAATGTAAAATGGGTATATATTTTTAAATTGGCAATGCTAACATGAAAATATGTAAATCTTTATTTTTTTTTTTTTAAGATTTTATTTATTTATTTGAGAGAGAGAATGAGATAGAGAGAGAGCATGAGAGGGGAGAGAGTCAGAGGGAGAAGCAGACTCCCCGCCGAGCAGGGACCCCGATGCGGGACCCGATCCCGGGACTCCAGGATCATGACCTGAGCCGAAGGCAGTCGCTTAACCAACTGAGCCACCCAGGCGCCCTGTAAATCTTTAGTATCATTTTTACTTCTAGGAATATGTTTTCAGGAAAGTATATTAAATGTCCATTAATACAGATACAGTTAAAGGAATTATGATTCATCCATGTGGGAGAATAAAATGCAACACCCCACCTCCCCTTAAATGGTACTGTGTCTTTGTCTTTTTCTACCAGTCCCTAAAGGATATCTCTAAGGGAATGTGCCAAAATGTTACCAGGATATAGGCCTATGGATACTTTTCTTTCTCTTAATTTTTTTTTTTAAAGCATGTGTTAATTTTATGATCCCACAAAACATATTTTTGAACCATGTCTTTTATATATACATGCAATAAAATAACAAAAAGGACAAGTTAATGCAATGACAATATTAGGGTAAATTTTGAAAAAGGGAAAAAATAATCTGCCATTTGAACAGATTTTTTTTTTTTTTTTTTACTGTTGAACTTTACATGTTGGCAGAGATCTACATATACCTTTGCATCTTGCTCTCAGGAGCCACTGCTTTGATGTGGCTTAATAGTCATTGATCCTAAATATGTTGTAGCTATAGCTTTTTTTTTTTAATGTTTGTTTTTAAGATTTTATTTATTTGAGAGAGAGAGTGAGCAAGAGAGATGGAGCAGGAGAGGGGCAGAGGGAGAGGGAGAAGCAGACTCCCCGCTGAGCAGGGAGCCCAATGATGACATGGGGCTTGATCCTTGATCTGGCACTCGGGGATCATGACCTGAGCTGAAGGCAGACGCTTAACCAGTGGAGTCAGCCAGGCACCCTGCGATAGCTTGTTTTTATATTATTCCATTCTAGTATATTGGAAGAACAGAGCGTTCTGGTGTTAAATGTTTCAGAATGAAAAGTCTTAATTTTTATTTTACCTTTTTTGCTGCTTAAGATTGTTACAATTTCTTAGTTTATATGTATGTTTATTTTGAAAGTGGTTGTCAGTGTGGGGTAATAGGTAGTTTACGAATTAAATGTCATGTTTCATCAGGGTGAGTGTTTTTGTTCCTGTTGAATCCTCAGTGCCTAGAATAGCATCTGCACAATAAATTTTTGTTAAATAAATGAATGATTTGCATTAACTGGTGGAGGTAAAAGGGAGGGAAGCCAGGGAATCAGAAAATATAAGGACTTCTGCTGTCCCAAATGACATTCCTGGCAGATAATATTTAAAATCATCTTGAATGAAGATTTGCTAGGGGTTCACAGGTAATTGGACTTTTCTTTTTCTGTAAATGGTGTTTCCTTTTGTTCTTTTGTTTGTTCATTTGTTTTTTGACGTTCCTGTATTCTGAGTCACCAGTTCATAGCCATGTTTTTTAAACTTGTCTGTCTTCAAAAGTTTTCTGTATCAGCAGACTATCAGTGTCTGCAACATAGTATAGGGTGCAGGCATGAAATTTTTGCCTTATCTTTTGTATTAAAAATTCATATTAATTTTATATTTTACTTCTTTTTATTTATGTCATTATAAAAATGTTTTCTTTCCCCAAATGATCAAGTAAAATTGGTTTTCTAACATTTTGATTCCATTCCTCCAGAGTTTAGTGTTAGGAGCAGGGACTTTAAGCCATCTTAGACTCTACTTTTTTTTTTTTTAATTTTGTTTATTTGAGAGAGAGAGGGAGAGCAGGAGAGAGAGCGAGCAGGGGGAGGGGCAGAGGCAGAAGGAGAAGCAGACTCCCCGCTGAGCAGGGAGCCTTACTCAGGGCTCAGTCCCAGGACCTTGAGATCATGACCTGAGCCAAAGGCAGATGCTTAACCGACTGAGCCCCCCCGGCGCCCCTTAGACTCTCCTTCTTATCCTGTATTGTCCATTTTGTCTTTAAATCATCTTGACTCTTTTTCTACAGTGTCTTTGAGGTCTCTTTCTATTTGATCTTCCTCATCCTGGTTGAGTTCTTCATTGCCTCATCTCTTCTATTTCTTTCCTTCACAGTACAGCTAAAACACTCTTCCTAGAAGAGTATAGATGTGTACGTATCACTCCCTTACTCTGTATAACACTCCGTTCTCAGTGCTTTACAACCAGGATATCTCAGTTGCCTCTCAGCTCTTTTCCCCTCCCTGTCCTCTTAATCCTTATTTATAGCCAAAGGTTCTGTTTGTTCTTGTCAACATATGTCTCTTCTTTCTTTGATATTTTGTTCAGATTCAGATTTTGCTTCTACCTAGAATTGACTCTCCCCAAGTGTTTCTCTTTGTGTGTATGTATCCTTAACCCCATCTTGGCCTGTAGACATTCTCTTGACCTTCAAGGTTCATCTGAAAGACTGCTACTCTGAAGAAGGCTTTATTGATTAAGTTCCCTTCCCTACTTTCCCTTAAAGAAAGAAAAAGAAAGGAGTGAACAAACTTAACCATGCTTTTTTTGAAAACAAAAAGGCATCGTGTTTTTGTATAGGATGTTTATTTTTTTTGCCAAGTATTATTTTAGTCATTTGAATATTTGTCTTATCTCTTTCCCTAGCTTTTGTGTTTGGGACCGGGACTCAATCTTTTTATCGTGGGCAGAATAGACATTTCCTTCCACTAAATAGGGGCTCCGTATAATTTTTCAAGTGGATTAAAGTTAAGCAAAAGATTAAAAAACATAAAATAGTAACTGTGACAATTAGCTGACTGAGTTCTTAGCATTGATTACTAGTTGGCTAATTATGGGCAGATTCTCAGTTATGCATGAATAGATCTACTTTGTTCCTTCTTGCCATGTCCCTGCTTTTAAGTATTTCATATTATACATTTCACAAAGAAAGGGTTCAGTTCAAGTTAATGGTATCTTGAAAGAACCTGATTATTTTCCTAACCTAAGAATTATTAATTTTTTTAATAATGTCAGAGTAAACTTTTCTGATTTTTTTTTTTAAAGATTTTATTTATTTATTAGAGAGAGACATGGCGAGAGAGGGAACACAAGCAGGGGGAGTAGGAGAGGGAGAAGCAGACTTCCCGTGGAGCAGGGAGCCCGATGTGGGGCTCGATCCCAGGACCCTGGGATCACGACCTGAGCAGAAGGCAGACGCTTAACGACTGAGCCACCCAGGCGCCCCTAAACTTTTATGATTTTAAGTTTAAATATACTGTCTGGGGGCGCCTGGGTGGCTCAGTCGTTAAGCGTCTGTCTTCGGCTCAGGTCATGATCCCAGGGTCCTGGGATCGAGCCCCGCATCGGGCTCCCTGCTGAGCAGCAGGGAGCACCTCAATGTTGTCAATTGAGCTTCTTCCTCTCCCACTCCCCAGGCTTGTGTTCCCTCTCTTGCTGTTTCTCTCTCTGTCAAATAAATAAAAATCTTTAAAAATAAATAAATAAATATACTGTCTGCATTTTTTTGTTTTACTATAACTAGTTAGTGCAGTATTTTTAGGTAAGTTTGTTGGTATACATTCATAAGCCAAATTTTACGTTTGTTGGTAGTCTGTCAGAACCATATTGGATTGCTCTATTTTCCAAAAATACCGGCCTTTAATTTGAAGAAATCTGGTTCAAAAGGTGAAATATTCCTGATGTAAAAATTCACCTTTGTGATTACCTATATTGCTGTCTACTAGAGAATATCCATCAAGTCACTAGGCACTTACAGTAACTGGGATGTGTAGACATGTTGCTATTCTCCTAAGAAACTTCTTGCCACATATCTAGATCATTAATTGCTGTCTGTATTTTGTTTTCCAAATTAAGCATTTATGGCTCTCTGTCTTTCAGGCTGGCATGGCTCTATATAAGATTGTCCCCAAAAACCCTTACTACTTTTGGTCTGTGATGAGCTTAATTATGCAAGTGAGTATGGCATTCAGAATGGGATTGAGATTTATTTTTATTTTTGTGTATAGTTATTGTCCTTAACTTGTCTTCTGAACACCTTGGGTAATGTGTTGCAGCGTGTGTCAAACAGGGACTTTACATAATGTCAATTGACTTTTTGAGTTGGGGAATTTTGGTATTTGTTCCTTATGAGTTGGTATATCAGTTTATTTGTATGTAGCACACACTGTATTTCCCCTGAATCTTAAATCCATTCCTGGGTTATTTGATCAAGTATGAGCCTTGAAAAATTTGGTATTTTGACTTGAGGTTTGTCTTTAAAACAGTATTGTTTGTTAGCGAACACGTTATTGAACTGGATGGCCTTGTGTTATCAATTCTGTTTTTTGAACCTCAGTTTGCTCTTTTGCAGAATGGAGATGCTTATCTTCCAGAGCTACTGTAAGGACCAAAAGGAGATAGTGTGTAAGAGAAGATAGGGAGGAAAGAGTTAAAATGTAGCGGTTAAGTCAGAGAGGCTCTGGGTTTAGACAGGTCTGCATTCATATACTGGTTTCAGCACATGTCTTAGAGAGCTGTTGGGGAATACCTTAGTTTATCTATGAAATAAGCATAATAGCTGCCTTGAGCTACTGAGCTCTGAGCAGAATCTCAGGCAATGTTAAAATTATTAATAAGCATTGATTTAATTATCAATCTAAGATAATCCTAATTATCGAAACTAGTTAATACTGGGCTGTATAAATGGAAGGTATTGGCGTTTTCCCTCTAATATGTGAACATCCCAAAAAGACGTCTGAAAGGCTTTTACTCTTCAAACACCTGATGATACCTTTTACATATAATGAGCAGTATAGGCATATCCCCTCTTAACATAGTTCTAGAAAAATGTATGAATAACCTATTTAAAAGTTAGACCATATTATGGAAATCCAGTTTGTCAAAAATGTATAGGATAATGCATCTTTAATAAATCTCTTCTAAAGCAAACCACTCTGTAATGTATCTTCATGGCAAGTTCAAATTAGGTCTGATATTAGACATAGTGGACTGATAAATACGTGCTGGAGTCACAGTAATGGTCTGCCTGGTAATAATATAAATAGTGCAAGCAGGGGGTGAAATATTTATTTTTTATTAGAGTGAAATATTTATTTTTTTCTCCTATAGTCTATATCGGCACAGGATGAAAACCTCTCAAAAACGATGTTTCTGCCCCTCGCTGAAAGAATGGTAGAAAAAATGGTGAAAGAGGACAAGATAGAAGCCGAGGCCGAAGTGAGTAATGGAAGTCCTGCAAAAGCCGTACTTTTGTATTTGCATGAGTTTGGTATTGCTGCAGTATGCTACGGTACTACAAACTGCTCTCTTATTCCAGTTAGAGAGCTGGGTCCTCATTCTTGTGTAAATATGAAGCTTTGGAAGTACCCAGCTTAAGTATAGCGAACATTCTTACTGCTGATTTCATCTCATTTGAAGATAGTGTTCTTTTCTATTAGATACTTTTTAAATTAAATTAAATTAAAATTAAATTTTCTTAAGTAGGCTCCACACCCAGCATGGGGCCCAACTTGGGCTTAAATTCATGACCTTGATACCAAGACCTGAGCTGATATCAGGAGTCGGACACTTAACTGACTGAGCCACCTACATGCCCCTTGATAACTTTTTAAAAACATGCAAATGACTATTCTTATTGAAAAGTTTCGATTGTTGCATTTCTTACTTGTTTTTTCTGTAAGGTTGAACTTTATTATATGATCTTGGAACGTTTGGGAAAGTACCAGGAAGCCTTGGATGTTATCAGAGGAAAATTAGGAGGTAATTTTTAGTTTTCCTAAAGTTTTTTTTCTTCTATTTAAACATGAAAAAAATATTTTTAAAGATTTTATTTATTTATTAGAGAGAGAGTGAGCGAGAGAGCGAGAACAAGCTGGGGGGTGGCCAGGGGAGAGGTAGAGGGGAGAAGCAGACTCCCTGCTGAGCAGGGAGCCTGATGCGGGGCTCGATCCCAGGACCCTGAGATCATGACCTGAGCTGAAGGCAGACACTTAACTGACTGAGCCGCTCAGGCGCCCCAAACATGAAAAATATTTATTGTGGAAAATTTCTTCCTTACACAGAAACATAAAGATATAAAGACATAAAAAAAATCACTTGTGATCATCTTACGTTCTTCCAGACTTTCCTGTATGTTATACATTTACTTTATTTTTTTTATTTTTTTTTTTTTAAAGATTTTATTTATTTACTTGACAGAGAGAGACAGTGAGAGCAGGAACACAAGCAGGGTGAGTGGGAGAGGGAGAAGCAGGCTTCCCGCTGAGCAGGGAGCCCGATGCGGGACTCGATCCCAGGACCCTGGGATCATGACCTGAGCCGAAGGCAGACGCTTAACGACTGAGCCACCCAGGCGCCCTACATTTACTTTAAAAATATATTTTATTTCATTTTATTTTTTAAAGATTTTATTTGTGAGAGAGAGAGAGAGAGAGGAAGAGAGCACGAGCAAGGGCACAGCAGGCAGAGGGAGAAGCAGGATCCCTGCTGAGTAAGGAGCCCGATGTGGGACTTGATCCCGGGACTCCAGGATCATGACCTGAGCTGAAGGCAGACGCTTAACGACTGAGCCACCCAGGCGCCCCAAAGCTTTTTTTTTTTTTTTTTTTTTTTTTAAGATTTATTAGAGAGAGTGAGAGAGTGAGTGTGAGCTGGGGGAGGAGCAGAGGGAGGGAGACAAGGAGACTCCACGCTGAGGGTGGAGCCAGTGCAGGGATCAATCAAATGATCCTGAGATCAGGACCTGAGCTGAAACCAAGAGTTGTACGCTTAACTAACTGAGCGGCCCAGATACAGCGAGCCTTTTTTTTTTTTTTTTTTTTAAGTAAGCTCTGCATCCAACATGGGGTTCAAATGCAAAACCCTGAGATCACGAGTCACATACTCTACTGACTGAGCCAGCCAGGTGCCCCTATTTCAATCTTTTTAATGTTTTTCGATCTGATAGATAAAACATATCTTACAGTTTTTATTTAATTTTGAGGGAGGATAATTTTTTTTATTTGTTTAAAAACCATTGATACTTTCTTTGAGCTGCTTTTCCTTATCCTTTGCCTATTTCTAAAAATGTGATTAATCTTAATGATTTGCAAGAGCACTTTATATGTTAAAGATGTTAGCTCTTTTCCATTATAGTGAAAATACTTCTTCCCTTTTTGTTGGAAAACTTATTTGTAGGAACTTCATAGATTGATCTAACCATTCCCCTTTGAAGATGTTTCTGACAGAGATTTAGGTTCCTAAACATTTACCCATTTTTGATGATTTCTGTGGGAGAAAGTCCTGGAAATCCAGTGTTGTTTTGACAAACCTGGTTTTTAATTGTGCCTTTATAGTCATTGGGGGAATCTAACTGTAGATGAATAGCCTGAGATCTCTCATTAGGAACAGTCATTAAAAAACTTTTATTTCAGGGGCTCCTGGGTGGCTCAATCGGTTAAGCATCTGCCTTTGGCTCAGGTCATGATTCCAAGGTCCTGGGATCAAGTCCCTCATTGCGCTCCTTGCTCAGCAGGGAGCCTGCTTCTCCCTCTGCCTGCCACTCCTCCTGCTTGTGCTTTCTCTCTCTGTCAAATAAAATCTTAAAAAAAATAAAATAAAAAAATAAAAACTTTATTTCATACAGGTGTGTATATCCTTTACTTGACCATGTGTGGTTATAAAACTAACACTGATAGTTTTAACTAATTATATAAAATGTAGGAGTTTTTGTTGTTGTTACTGTTTCTTTTTTTTTTTAAGATTTATTTGAGAGTGAGAGAGAGAAAGTGAGCATGTGTTGGGGGGAGGGTGGTGGCCAGAGGGAGAGGGAGAAGCAGACTCCCTACTGAGCAGGGAGCCTGATGCAGGCTGATCCCAAGACCCTGAGATCATGACCTGAGCCAAAGTCAGATGCTTAACTGACTGAGCCACTCAGGCACCCCCCCTTTAAGATTTTATTTGTTTATTTGAGAGAGAGATTATTATTGTTTTAATGTTATTTATTCTTTAATTTCAGCCTCCTTGCATATGGGTATAAGTCAGCCTTTCTGTTTTTATCCAGCTGGATTGTAGTTTAGGATAGTTAAAATGAAGATTATCTGTAGGAAATTCATAATGTAATTGTTGGTATCCGTAATCTGCTAAGCTGTTCTGAAAGGTTGGGGCAAATCTAATTTGTTCAGAAATAGTAGTCATAGTTTTTCTGTTCCCAGCTCTTGGGAAAGTGTTTGATTCATCTCTGTTCATTTTTGTATTCCTCCTAACATCTCACCTTGCTCATCCCATTCCAGTCTTAGCTCATTCAATGTTTTGGAACTGTTTGTATGGATGGGAAGTCTGTCTATGGACCATATATACTAGTTCCTAGATGCTTTTGGGGTTTTATAAGTGTACCCCATGTTTTAGATCCTCAACTCAATACATTCTGGATCTTTATAGAAAAAATGATTATAAAAGTTTAGTGTCAGAAATTTACTTTTTTCTTCTCAGGAAAATAATCTTTATTAAGATAATAGTTTGTATCTGGTAGTGGTCCCATTTTCTAAGAGAGGGAATAAGAAAATGTGACATTTTCCTTCTTGTGTTTGGACATTATTCTGGTTTCTGAGCAGAAATGAAACTAGCTTACCAATTTTTATAACTTTTAATTGTAGAGAAGTTGACAAGTGAGATTCAAAGTCGGGAAAATAAATGCATGGCTATGTATAAGAAGCTGAGCAGGTGGCCAGAGTGCAATGCCCTTTCCAGGCGCCTCTTATTGAAAAAGTGAGTAGATGCTTCTTTTTGGACCATGAGACTGGAGTGGGGCTCTCAGGTGTCACTACTGAATTTTTTTTTTTTAATCTGTTGTCTTTTATATTGCCTGGGCATAAATCTTTTAGTAGTGTGTGTCCTAGGTATTTTTAAAAGTTTTTGATGAACCTTTATCTTTTGGTAAAGAGGTATAATGGAACTTATGCTGCAAGGGTGCTGAGTGTTACATCTTCAGAATGAATGCTAAAAATCATTGATTTGTTAAATTCAGTATTGGTCTAAAAGAAACATGTCCCTCCCTTATCCCCCCCCCCCCCCCCATTTTGGGGAAGTGCTAACGTGGGAATTTTCTGTTAAGAATATTAGTTTTCTGGACCTGGTTATTTCATTGAAGGAAATAATTGTTTCTTAAAAGTTTTTTACTTTTTTTTTCTTCAAAAGTTTTTTTGCTTTGAAAATGCCTTTGGAGTTGTCCTTTTAGGGCAGCAGAGGAAACTCAGAGGGAGGGGTGGGCTTCTCCTAGTAAAGACTAAAATGTAACCTAGAAAATAAGTTGAGTATCATGGTTCCTAGGGCAGACTTGTCACAACTTGGGTTTAATCCTTTGTGCATCATTCAATCTGATTTTAGCTCAGATGACTGGCAGTTCTATCTGACTTATTTCGATTCTGTCTTTCGACTGATTGAAGACGCCTGGACTCCTCCTGCTGAAGGTGAACAGTAAGTTGACTCCTTTCCTGAGTTACAGTGGCACTTTTTAGCATGGTGTAGCCAAAGGATTTCTTTGGAAGCCTAATAGAATTCTTTTTTGGTCTCAATAGTGTATCCCTTTCAAAGAAGATTTTTCATTTATTTAAAATTACAAAATAAATATATGTTCATTGTAAAAAATCTTAAACTAGTGCAGAAATGTATGGTGTGAAAGTGTTAGTTCCTAGTCTTACCATCCCAGAAATAACATTTTTTTCCTTTTTCCAATTTTATTGAGGTATAATTGACTCAGAGATAATTCTTTTTTTTTTTTTTAAGTAATCTCTGTGCCCATGATCTTTGAACCCATGATCGAGTCGCATGCCCTGCCAATTGAGCCAGCCAGGTGCCCCCAGAGATAACTCTTGATGGCAGTTTAGAGTCTTTTCTTCCAGATTTATTTCTTTCGATATACTAACTTAATTCTCATTATTTAACATAAAAATGCAGTCATATTAGACATAGTGGTTTGCAACTTAGTATTTTCTCCCTTAAAATATATCTTGAGCATCTTCCATATATGGTACATATGGACTCGTTTCATTCTTTGTAGTGACTTAAGAGAACTCCACTTTAGAGATGTACGGTAATTCATTTAACCTGTGCCCCATTGATAGACTGATGGACACTTGGATTGTTGCTGGTTTCCTTTTTTTTTTTTCTTTGCTATTCTAGACAAAAACACAAACATAAATGGGATCTTTTTAAAAAGGAAACCGGATTTAAGATGGTGATGAGCTGATGCTTACTTTGTAATATTAACTGAGTCATCTAACTTTTCTCAGTCTTCATTCTTTAAGCAGTAAAGTAAAATTTACTTAGATTTTTTAATTAGGCAATATTTTACGTATATAAAGTTATCCTTTTTTTTTTTTTTTTAAGACAGCGGTAGAGGTCATTAGTCATAGTGCAGTAATGAGATGCCAGAACTGGGCCCAGTCCTCTGCCACGTTGTCAGAATGTGCTCCTGTATTATCTTATAATTATCAGTGCTTTTTATTTTTTGTTTCTTTAAGTCAGTTTGGCTTCACTTTTAAGTTTTAGGATGGACAAGAGAGGTACAAAATACCTTTCTCCATGTGTTTTATACTTAGCTCTTTAGAAGGAGAAGTGCATTGTTCTGCAGAAGAAGCTGTGAAGTTTATAGAAGATCGGATAACAGAAGAATCTAAAAGTTCCCGCCATCTCCGAGGACCACATCTTGCTAAACTGGAACTGATTAGACGTTTAAGATGCCAAGGTTTTAATGATGAGTACAAACTGGGTAAGAACCCTTAATATTATTTGGGAACCTTGGAGAAGATACAGGAATCACCTCCATACCCAAGTGCAGTATTCATTCTCTGAGGTCTACGATGAAGTCATGTTTGGGAAGCAAACATCTTCATAACCTGAAAATATTTACTCATGAATGGATTACTGATACCATTAGCCCTCAGTCATATCTTCAACTCAACATTAGCATCTCTTCCTGTTCCACCAGAGTCTTTATCAGGCATTCTTTTTTGACCCAACATTAATGTCAAAATCAATTTCAAATTAAAATAGCCAGTTTCATGAAAGTTTCAGGATTTCGTGAAGTGGATGAAAGGTTTCTTGAAAGTCTGCTTCAAGCACTCACAAAACCATTGATGAAAGAACATCTGGCAGAGTTAGAACAATTAACAGTTAAGAGAAAATTTATAAGGACAATGACAAGATAGGAGAAAAACATGATTTGGGTAGTAGTGCACGAAGAGAGGCTTTCGGGAAAGTTGATGAAGCCCTTCGATGTTTTTTGAAAATGTTTCTTTTTGAGCTTACTTCATAAGAAATGAAGGATGCCATATTGTGCTAGTTCACAGTTTTGTTGGAAAAATGGCACCCTTCCCCTCAGTAATTCTTTGCTCATACTAAGAATTAGCTTATAGTTTAGTTATACCCTAAATTTTGTTAAGTTTAAGTTAATAAACTTAATTTTTTAGTTTCATTTTTTAAAGATAAAGCTCCAAAGAAACCTTTTCTCCCCCTACTTATCATTATGGAAGTTTAGTTCTCGTTAAAAGTTGATCAGGGGGCGCCTGGGTGGCTCAGTTGTTAAGTGTCTGCCTTCGGCTCAGGTCATGGTCCCAGGGTCCTGGGATCGAGCCCCACATCGGGCTCCCTGCTCCGCGGGAAGCCTGCTTCTCCCTCTCCCACTCCCACTCCCCCTGCTTGTGTTCCCTCTCTCGCTGTGTCTCTCTCTGTCAGATAGATAAATAAAATCTTTAAAAAAAAAAATTTGATCAGAAGGGTCTTGTTTAGGCACCAGTTGTCCTGAGATGATAAGCACTTCCAGTTTCTAAAACCTGTCTTAGATCGTCTCTGTTCACTTTAATCATCTAACTAATGCTCTTTGCAGCTTATTCTGAAATTAACTGTGGGCTTCTCTCATTCCCTTTGTAGAGTTTTCACTACCAGTTTTTTAATTCCATGTTGACTTTTTTAGGTCTACTTCAGAAACCTTAGTCTCTGTTAGTTCCAGAATTGCAAATGAAAATTTTCGTTTGAGCCTCAGCAAAATGTTAAGATAGATCCCAAAGAATTGCTTCTTTCCAAAGCTGGAACTAAAAGCATTTGGATCTGTGTTGGCACTTGCTATGTCCATCTCCTGTCTTCCTCTTCCTTCTTACCAGCCTGTGTAATAGAAATTTGTGAGTTTGGTTAGTCTCCACAATTTTTTTTTTTTTTGAAGTAAACTCTACCAGCAACATGGGGTGCCAACTTACAGTCCCAAGATCAAGAGTCACATGCTCTACCAACTGAGCCAGTCGGGTGCCCCTCCACAAATTTTTTTTTTTTTAAGATTTTATTTATTTGAGAGAGAGCGCGAGCAGGGGGAGGGACAGAAGGAGAGGGAGAGCAGACTCCCCGTGGAGCAGGGAGCCAAAGGCAGGGCTCAATCCCAGGACCTTGGGATCATGACTTGAGCCTAAGGCAGATGCTTAACCCACTGAAGCCACCCAGGCGTCCCCACAAATTTTTTTTTACCCAGAGCAGTAAGTGATTCTTAGTGTCTTGGATCGGAGTCTTTTGAGAATCTGATGAAAGCCATGGACTTTTGTTCCCAGAAATGTGAACAGAAACCAACACCTAAAATCTTACAGAAACTCTTGGTTCAGTTTGAGAGCATTTTATTTTTTATTTTAGTTTTTGTTTTTAAAATTGTTTTGTTTTTAATTTGAGGAAAAACAAAAGACACTGGTAGCTTCTGCAGATCCAGGTTTGAATTTTCCATAGTGAGTGATCTTGTTGGGAGTTATTGGCTTGTGACTCTTCCCATTTATTTTCTCTTCTGTTAGTGTGCCTGTTAAACATTCCCTTTAATTTAGTTAACATTTAATACTTGTTAAGTAGTTTAAGAACTGTGGAAAGAAGCATGTTTGTTTAATGTTTGTATATAAACTTCAGTCTCAATTTAAACTTTAATGAAAACTTTTTAGCTATTTAAACTTTAATTAATGAAAAGCGTCACATTTCCGAAGCGTAATAACAAGTAAACTGAGATTGTAAGATTCAGCTCCTTTTTAAAGTATTTGTTTAAATGGGCAAGCCATCCTGCAGCCCTCATTGTCATTCTCATTCAAGCATTCAAGCAAAATTTTATTTTTTATTTTTTTAAATATTTTATTATTTGAGAGAGAGAGAGCATAAGCTGGGAGAAGGGGCAGAGGGAGAAGCAGACTTCCCACTGAGCAGGGAGCCCGATGCAGGGTGCAGGATCGTGAGATCATGACCTGAGCCAAAGGCAGACCCTTAACTGACTGAACACCATCAAGCAAAATTTTAATTTAATGGAAATAAATGTTTTTCAAATCAGACCTCTTAAATTAGAATTTGCTTCCACTCATGAATTAATTTAGTGATTTCTTTTTTTCTCTCTCTTAGGTGATCCAGAAGAATTAATGTTCCAGTATTTCAAAAAGTTTGGGGATAAACCTTGTTGTTTTACAGACCTCAAGGTGTTTGTTGACCTCTTGCCTGCTACACAGTGTACAAAAGTAAGTACAGTTCAGAGTTCTGTTGGGTACCTGTATTTACTGTAACTAGGTTAAATTTGTGTGTGAGAGTGGTGAACACGAGATGCCAAGGTCAAGGACTCCAGGCGCTATCAGATTAAGATATGATTTCTTGTTAAATTAAGCCACCAAGAGAATAAGCCTCTGGTGGGTAATTGGATTGTCTTTGTGTTTTATGGTGTGTTTTTGTTTTGTTTTTTTACATGTAGTTGTAAGAGAAATATAATACAGAGAGCTCTGTATACCCCATTCCCATTTTGCCCCATTGATAACATCTTGCATAACTATAGTATAATATCATAACTAGGAAATTGACATTGATACAATTCACTGACTGTATCCAGATTTCATGAGTTTTACATCTGTGTGTGTATGTGTGGTACGTTACATGTGTATTTAGTGCAGTATGTAGTGCATGTGGATTCAGTGACCCCCACCAGCTTCAAGATACAGAACAGTTCCACCACCAGGATCCCATGCGCTACCCCTTTTTACCTAAGGCCATTTCCCTGCACCTTCCCCTTTCCCTGTCTCTGTCCCCTAGCAATCACTACTATGGTTTCTATTTGTGTAATTTTGTCATTTTAAGAATGTTATGTAATAGAATCATATTACGTGTAACTTTTTGAGATTGACTTTTTTCCTCCCTCAGCATAATTCCCTGGAGCTTCATCCATGTTACATGTTTCAATAGTTCATTCTTTTGTATTGCTGAATAGTATTCTGTGGTATGGATGTGCCACCATTTCTTTAAGTTGTTGAAGGACATCCAGTTTCCTGTTTGGGGCTGTTACAGATAGAGCTGCTGTGGACATTTGTGTGTGGGTTTTTTTGTGTTAACTTAAATCTTAATTTCTCTGAAAAAAATGCCCCAGTAGTGTAATGATAGCTACATGTTTAGGGTTTTGTTTTTGTTTTTTTTTCTTTAAAGAAATGGCCAAACTTTCACAGTGGCCATTTCATTTTAAATTCCTGTTAGCAGTGAATGAGTGATCCAGTTTCTCTGCATCTTCATCAGCATTTAGTGTTGTCACTATTTTTTATTTTAGCCATTCTGGCGGGTACGTAGTGATATTTTATAGTGGTTTTAATGTGCATTTCCCTAATGGTTAATGATGTTGAACATCTTCTCGTGTGCTTATTTATTTGCCAGCTTTATATTCTCAGTGAAATGTGTTTCTGTCTTTTGCTCCCTTTCTAGATTGTTTGCTTTACATCTTGTTCAAGGTGTTTGCTTTACATCTTGAGTTTTGAGAGTTTAGATATCCTAGATACAACTCCTTTGTCAGATTTGTGGTTTCACATATTTTCTCCCAGTCTGTGCTTGTCTTTTCATCCTTTAATAGGATCCTTTGCAGAGCAAGATTTTACATTTTGATCCATTTATTTTGGAATAATTTTAGATTTACCAGAAAGTCACAAAGGTGGTACAGAAAGTTACACCATACTCTTAACCCTTGCTTGTTAATATCTTAATTACCATGGTACATTTGTCAAAACTAAGAAACCAACATTGGTGCATTACTATTAACTAACCCCTAGATTTTATTTAGATTTCTCCAGTTTTCCCATTAATGTCCTTTTTCTGTGCTGTGATCTAATCCAGAGTACCACATTGTAGTTAGTGGTCATATATTGGGAGTTTTTGATGTGAATGAACCAACATAAATCTATTACATAATGAGATGGAGAACCATATCTTTAGACTCCTCATCCACAGCAACATGTATTGGGTCAGATTGCTCACCCATTGCTGGGAACTTCATACCCTGTTCCACATTAAAAGTTTGTAGCATTTAGTCCAGAGTGTCCTTGGTGATGGGCAGCTGGAGTACTCTACCAATTGGAAGAACAGTGTATTTGGGGTAGGATAAGAGCACCATATAAAGAAACAGTGGCATGTATAAAAGAAGGTCTGGGGCTTTGATCAGTTTTACTCATAAATACCTCTGTAAATAGTGAAGGTTGCAATGAAGCCTTCCTATCACAGGGTTACCACCACCTGTTATTCCAGAATGCCTTCTGTCACCTCCATAGTGGAGGTGACTAGAGTATTTGGTGGTCATATCTTCAGTCCACCGGGCTTGATACTTGGCAGTCTTGAGGTGACGTATCTAGGGCAGATGGAGTAGTGCATTCCCAAACTGGTAAGTAGCCAGTGGTCTCTGTTGGTTCTGAAATGACTGTCACCATTCACTTTTGTTTAGTAAAGCTATTCTTGGAGTGCTGTACTTACAGGGCTCAGGCCAAGTTTTAGATTTTCCAGATTAATTGCTGCATATCCAGAAAAAGGGTTCTGGATTGTAGGAGGACTTGAAAGCATAGGAAAGAGAAATGGTTAAGTGGAAGAGAGGTTTGGTCTGGTGAGGACACAGTCCTTCCTTTCTCATAATTGAAAAGCTCCCGTACAAAAGGGGAATGAGAATTGGGATCAGCAAGAAGTTGTTACAGGGAATTCAAAATTTGGCCAGTGAAAAAAAGATCTTTCTAGTAGTTAGATTCTCTAAAAATATAGTGTGTGAGTTTCATGTTACTAGAGAGATTTAAGCAGAATCTAGAACCACGTTGAAGAGATTCCTTCAGTTGTGTTGCACATATTATGTACTAAGTGCTAAGATATGGAACAATTGATCATGTCTTCCATTGCTTCCCATCTTAGAAGTTGCATCAAATAATGGGGCTGCATTAAAGGAACACTTAAATTACCTTCAGCTGAGATTCACAAGGGTTTGTTAATGTGTATCTAGTACAAGCAGCTCTACTGTATTAGTACGTTTGAAAGTCTTAGGTCATCTCATGTGACCTCATATAGTAATAATCTATTGAGAGGAACCCTCTAGAAATGCTGGAATACTAGCAGTGATAGGTAGTCGTTGTTTTGTGAGACAAAGGGTTTAAAGCTGTTGCAATGAGTTTTGTAGTCCCACATAAATTTTTCATTGAGAGGGGTCATTTTGCTGCCACAACTTTTTAAATGTAGGATGACTTCAGTAGCTAAAAATTCTGCCACTCAGCAGTGCGTTTGTCAGAGGATTGCAAGCCATTCAAGTAGGTTTCAAGCTGATAGCTGTAGTCCCAGTCTTTTGACACTGGGACTAGCCCCTACGAGTAGGTCACTGAATCCAGTTATCCTGAAGTGGCTCACCCAGAGTGATGTTTTTATCTTTTGATTTCCTTTGCCTTGGGGTTTTAAGCTAAACAGATGATTCCGGTTTTTAAAGAAGCTTTTTGCATAGCAGTAAAACTGTACAGACTAGAATAAAGAATGAACGTATTGTTTCATGACAAAACCTATCTGAAAGATTCTTCAGCATTCCCTGAAGAAGGCATTAATATTAAGCATCACTAATATATAAAATAGCTAACAAGAATGGAACAGCGGGCAGTAGAAACTATATAGGCATTTAATAAAAAAAATGAAAACCAGTGCTTCAGTTTCTTTGTTGCAAATGGTTATCTGATCATCATAATTAAAATTCATACAATTGGAGACAAATTGAAGCAAAATTGTTACAGATGTGAAACTGCATGAGTGGGGTTTTCTTTTTAATTTTTATTTTTGTCAAAAAATTACATGGATAAAGTTGAAGAAGCCAAATGGTACTCTAAGGCTTCTATTGAGAAACAGTAGCAGCTCTTTGCCACCCTCACCCTGGTCTGGCTCTCTACAGCCAGATCACTTTCAACTCCTAACTGTCTTCTGTGATTTACCTCTGTATTTCTAAATTACAGATTTGTATAGCTGTTAGTTTATTTTTACAGTTACAGTCTTCATCTGTCGGAGCGCTTTTGTGGAACGAGGATCATCTCGTTTACAACATCCCACTTCTCTCCTTGAGTACTTGCCCCCCAGTTTAGTTTAGTGTTTATTCAGAATTTATATTTTTATGACCAAAGGCTGAAGCACTTTGTATATGGAGATTACCTTTCTTGCACAGCTTACTTTCTCAGATTTAATATTTTTTTGATTCACCCCAATCTGACAGAACCATAAAAGTATAAAATTCTCTTAGTGTAGTCTAAAACATGAGGTGATCATCTGTTTCATTCTCCCCCAAACCTTCTCCATCCTCCTGCCCCTCACCACTCACCTCAGAAATACTTTTTTTTTTTTTTAAGATTTTACTTATTTATTTGACAGAGAGACACAGCGAGAGAGGGAACACAAGCAGCGGGAGTGGGAGAGGGAGAAGCAGGCTTCCAGAGAGCAGGGAGCCCGACGCGGGGCTCAGTCCCAGGACTGTGGGTTCATGACCTGAGGCGAAGGCAGACGCTTAACGACTGAGCCAGCCAGGCGCCCCAGAAATACTTTTTTTTTTTTAAAGATTTTATTTATTTATTTGAGAGAGAGAGAGGAGAGGGAGAAGCAGACTCCCCAGTGAGCAGGGAGCCCGACATGGTGCTTGATCCCAGGACCCTGGGATCATGACCTAAGCTGAAGGCAGACGCTTAACCGACTGAGCCACCCAGGCGCCCCTCAGAAATACTTTTCATAGAACCTGTTTGCCACCCTTGTGTTTGGGGTCTCAAACATTTGGGCATGTGACATTCTGGGATCTGGTTGGGAGTAGGGGGAGGGGGCCAGGGCACTCATCACTGAATAACTGAGTTTCACTTGATCCTCTTTTTTTTTTTTAAGCTAACACAGAGGTTTTATCCATTTATTTTAATTCCAGTATATTGTATATACAGTGTTAAATGAGTTTCAGATGTACAATATAATGATTCAGCATTTCTGTCTGGTACTCAGTGCTCATCATGATAAGTGTACTCTTTAATCCCCATCATCTGTTCCACCCACCCCCCACCCAACTCTCCTCTGGTAACCGTGTTTGTTCTCTATAGGTAAGAGTCTGTTTCTTGGTTTGCCAAATTTTCCCCCCTTTGCTCGTTTGTTTTGTTTCTTAAATTCCACGTATGAGTGAAATCATGGTGTTTGTCTTTCTGTGACTTATTTCACCTAGCATTATACTCTTTAGCTCATTCATGTTGTTGTAAATGGCAAGATTTCATTCCTTTTTTGGCTGAATAATACTCCAGTGTGTGTACGGGTGCACACGCGTTTGTGTGTATACACTACATTTTCTTTATCCATTCATCTATTAATGGATACTTGGGCTGCTTCTATAATTTGGCTATTGTAAATAATGCTGCAGTAAACATAGGGGTGCACGTATCCCTTTGAATTGGTGTTTTTGTATTCTTTGGGTGGATACCTAGTAGTGTGATAACTGGATCATATGGTAGGTGAGGATGTGGAGTAAAAGGAACCCTTGTGCAGCGTTGGTGGGAATGCAAGCTGTGTAGCCACTGTGGAAAACAGTATGGAGCTTCCTCAAACAATTAAAAATAGCAGTTTAGGGGTACCTGGGTGGCTCAGTTGTTAGGCGTCTGCCTTTGGCTCAGGTCATGATCCCAGGGTCCTGGGATTGAGCCCTGCGTTGGGCTCCCTGCTCCGCGGGAAGCCTGCGTCTCCCTCTCCCACTCCCCCTGCTTGTTTTCCCTCTCTTGCTGTGTCTCTCTCTGTCAAATATAAATAAATAAATACAAACAAACAAACAAACAAACAAAAACACCATTTCTGGCTATGCCTGATATCCCTGAGTCTACAGTGCCTCTGGTTCAGCTTCTCCTTGGGAGTAAAACTGCAGGCTTCTGCTGGGTTTAGGAAGTCAGTCTGTGAGCTAGGGGAGGGGTCAAACTTCTTAGATGGAATTTAACCAATTCTTCTGTTCCGTCCTACCAACACTTGAGCTTTCTAGTGCCCTGAATTTCTGCTTTCCAAGATTCTGTGGATGGAATAGACTCGAGGCCCCTTGTGTATGTTAGCTTTCTGCCCGGAGCGTGTAGGTTAGCACTTAACACCTGTCCTTTATGCTTTTTATCTTTGAAATCTTCTTAATGTTTATTTGCTGTCATCTTTTCACATGTTCTTGATCCTTGTGGTTTGATTCTTTGTTGTCATCTTAATAAGATTTTGGCAGTGAGGAATAAGCCTGTGTTTAATAATGTGTAATGGAAACGGTACATTTTTTTAAATTCTTACGAATTTAAAGAATTAAAAATGTTTTATTTATTTTAAAAGATTTTATTTATTTGAGAGAGTGAGAAAGAGAGAGCATGAGTGGGGTGAAGGGCAGAGGGAGAAGCAGACTCCCTGCTGAACACGATCCCAGAAGTCTGGGATCATGACCCAAGCTGAAGGCAGATGCATAACCGACTGAGCCACTCAGGCGCCCTGAATTAAAAACAGTTTAATGCAAGATGTTACCATTGGGAGAAACTGGATGAGAAGGGTACATGGGATCTCTCTGGATGATTTCTTAACAACTGCATGTGAATCTGTAATTATCTCAAAATAAAACTTTAATTAAAAAATCATTTAAGGCCACTGACATAACTATTCCTCTCAATGTGTCTTATTTTGTTTAAGAATTTACTTGTATATCAGTTGTAATTGTAGGTTTGTTTTTTGTAATCTGCTCTTTTTATAGTCTAAACTTTTCATTGTCATTTCATATATTATGTTGATGTGGAATAATTTATGAAACATTTTCACAATTCTTTTAATCTTTTAGTTAGTATAGTACCCAGTATTGACAGGTTACTTGTGGCCAGCATTGGATGAGTATGCATGCCATTTTCATTGGCCTTTTACCAGCATTGTGTGCTGTTAGAAACTTTTTTGTTTTAGTAATTTTGGTAAATAGAAAACGTCTTGGGATGCCTGGTGGCTCAGTCGTTAAGAGTCTGCCTTCAGCTCAGTTCATGATCCCAGGGTCCTGGGATCGAGGCCTGCATTGGGCTCCCTGCTCTGCGGGAAGCCTGCTTCTCCCTCTCCTACTCCCCCTGCTTGTGTTCCCTGTCTCGCCATCTCTCTCTCTGTCAAATAAATAAAATCTTTTTTTCTTTTTAAAGATTTTATTTATTATTTGAGAGAGCGAGAATGAGAGAGAGAGAAAGAGAGAGCGCACATGAGAGGGGCGAGGGTCAGAGGGAGAAGCAGACTCCCTGCTGAGCAGGGAGCCCGATGCGGGACTTGATCCTGGGACTCCAGGATCGTGACCTGAGCCGAAGGCAGACGCTTAACCAACTGAGCCACCCGGGCGCCCCTAAATAAAATCTTAAAAAAAAAAAAGTCTTTTTCTCGATCATTTCGACGTTTGTTAATTATGGCCTACCAAAGATGAGTTCTGTTTTGAGATCTGTGCACCTTTTTTCTACATTGCAGTTCATTAATCAGTTACTTGGAGTTGTTCCTTTGTCGACACCAACTGAGGATAAGCTGGCATTGCCCGCGGACATCAGAGCTCTGCAGCAGCATCTGTGTGTGGTGCAGCTGACGAGGTTGCTCGGCTTGTACCACACTATGGATAAAAGTCAGAAACTGAGTGTGGTCAGAGAACTCATGTTAAGGTACCAGCATGGACTAGAATTTGGTGAGCATTCTTTCAAAATGTGTAATAGTTGCCTGATTTGCTAAGTTTTAGTCCATTTTTGTTGTTTTTTGTTGTTGTTGTTGTTGTTGTTTTTACCACCACTCGGAGCACCTTGTTTTAATGAATTTGGCAAGGAGAAATTTTGTCAGGTGGGAAGAGTGTTCACATGTAAAACCTTTCTTAAGTTTGGAGCTTTAAATAATTATAGTTGTCCATATTCTTGATTGAGCTAACTCTATTACACTGGGGCTCATATGAATTACATGGAGTTTATGGTTAATTGTGACATTTTCTGCTTATAGGCCTTAGTATTTTAATATATAGACTGAAATTGAACAAAATGAATGTTGTAAATTATGAGGTAAATGTTTAGTTTAGAAGTAGATGATCTTTTTGCTAGATATATGTGATAAAGTGTAAATTATGTGACGAGATAATGTCAGTGTTTCTCTAACTGTATTCTAAATCATTAGGTGAAGTAAAGAGCGTACTATTACTTTAGTTGTACATGGCCCTTGGCTTCTGTTCTTCTCTTTACCTGAAACCTTCCAAATCTTGCTGCTCTCCCTTTTGGGGCCATTGCAGATACCACCTTTGTTCTGGAACTCTTTCTTCTTTTCCAGCTGAGTGTGGCCTTAAACCTTCTTTTGAATCCTTTGATTCATGGCTTATATTTTTCTTCTGGTATTTACACGACTCTTACTACTTTCATTTCCTCTTTTTATCTTCTCCCTCCTGTCACTTTCCTGCTTTAAAAAACTCCTTTGGGGCAGTGTTAGTTGAACAAATGTTAAAATACAAATATGGGATTTTTTCCCTACAGGGAAATCCTGTTTGAAAACCGAATTGCAGTTTTCAGACTATTACTGTCTCCTTGCTGTCCATGTGCTTATTGATATATGGAGAGAAACAGGTAAGGAAGAGTAATTTCAGTTTAACTTTACGCTTTGCTTTTATTGATTATAAATCCTGAGACTGATTATATAATCCAAGAATTTGATTTATGCTTTTAGGTTTTTCCTCCTTGCCCTTCTCCAGGGTGCTTCTAGAAGAACCCTTCTCCAGATATCCCCCTCTCTGTAATCAGGATAGTCTTAAATCAGTGCACATCTGTTCTGTATTTTTTAAATTTTGTTAAATTGAAGTATAGTTGACACACATTACATTAATTTCGAGTGTACAACATAGTGATTCGACAATTCTGTACATCATGCTATGCTCACCACAAATGTAGCCACCATCTCTCACCATACACCGCTGTTACAATACCATTGACTATATTTCCTATGCTGTGCCTTTCATCCCTTATTCATTCCATGACTGGAAGTTTGCACCTCCCACTCCTCTTTTTGCCACCCCCACCCCTCCTGACAACCACCAGTTCTCTGTATTTATAGGTCTGTGTCTGCTTTTTTGTTTGTTCATTTTATTTTTTAGATTACACATATAAGTGAAATCATATGGTATTTGTCTTTCTCTGTCCAGCTTATTTCACTTAGCATAATACCCTCTAGGTCCATCCATGTTGTTGGAAATGGCAAAATATTCTTTTTTATGGCTGAATAATATTCGTGTGTGTGTGTGTATACCACATCTTCTTTATCCATTCATCTATTGATGGACACTTGGTTTGCTTCCATATCCTGGCTGTTGTAAATAATGCTGCAGTAAACATAGGGGTGCGTGTATCTTTTTGAGTTAATATTTTCATTTTCTTTTGGTAAATACTCAGTAATAGAATTACTGAATCATATATTTCTATTTTTAATTTTTTGAGAAACCTCCATACTGTTTTCCACAATGGCTGCACCAATTTATATTCCCACCAGCAGTGCATGAGGGATCCTTTCTCTCCACATCCTTGTCAATACATGTTATTTCTTGTTTTTTGTTCTGTTTTTAAACATTTCTAAATAGTGAATAATGACAAAGTTGCAACAATTAAAATATAGAGAAACTGATTCAGAGATAGATGTATAGGCCCATGAAATGGAGTAGCCCTTTTTGTTCACTTAAAAAATGTTTAGGAGAATGCACTCTTTTTGGAATATAATTGTAATTAACCTATTTAGGACAGAAATACAATATATGCTGAAGGAAGCATCATATATCATTGAGCAAGAAAAGGATGATTCAGCAGATGGTATTGAGATTACCTTTTCTTTAGGTCTCACTCCTGACATTTTCTTTTATTAGCAGTTTTTTTGGGGAAAAAAATAGGTACTTATTGCATATTATTCACGAGAATAAACTACACAAGAAACAAAGGCCTGGGGAGACAGTACTGTGCATGATGGACACAAGGCCTGTCCTCGGGATCATTTCATGGAGCACTTGATTTTGATACCATCATCCTCATGCTTAAAATCCTTCAGAGGTGCCCTACTTTCCTGAGGATAAAGGTCAACCTCTTTAGGATAGTTTATAATGCTCTTTATAATCTAGCCTCTGCCTGTATCTCCAAATTCTTAGGTACTTACAGTCTAAATCTGCTGTTTTTTTGTTTGCTAGTATTAGTGAACATCATGTGCCTCTCTTTGAAATAACTTTCTTCCTTCCTTCATCTAACTTTTACTCAAACGGTACCTCTGACAAGCCTGTCTTGATTTCACCCCCCTCCCCCACTGCAGATTTTATGCCCCTTCTCAACTTTTGTAGGACGTTGTGTGTACCCCTGTGCTAGTACTTGCTATACTGTATTGTACTGGAGATGGGGGTGAAATCCTTTTTATCAGTCTTTGTCATCTGAGCCCCAGAATTGTGAGTTTGCATAGAGCTTAAAAAAAAAAAATCATTGATGAACTGACCTCTTAGTAATTTGGTTCCTACTCAGATACCCTTCCCCACTTACTCTAGCATCCATTCTTGCTCATAAGTGACTATATGGCTTTGCTAATCCCTTGTTTTTTTGAGCAATATGCCCAGTATAGCAATAGCGGCTAGCAATTGTTGATCATCAGGCACTTGAAAGTGCTTTACATGAATTAGATAATTTAAACCTCATAATAATACAGTTAAGATTGGTGCAGTTTTATAGATGAAGGAAAGACAGGGCAGAGAGAAAGAAGTTAAGCAAATTTTCCATAATCATACAGTGCAGATGCATTGGAAAATTGCCAATATTATAAAGATGCCAGGTTTCTTGCAGTCACTGAAAGTGATGTTGAAGTGCTCTAATTAGAGGTATAGTCATTGTCCAAGGGGGATCTGACAGATACTAGAAATCTATAGAAATTTGGTACGGATGTTGGAAGAGACTAATTTGAATGTGAAAGATTAAGAAGAGCACTTTAAGAAGTTGATGATGCTCTCGGATATTTTGCAAAAAGGCGTTTGTTTATGATTCTGCACAAGTAAAATGGGGAGTTAAGGATCCTTTTTTCCCTCTAGTTTTATTGAAGAAATGTGATTGGCATATTACATTGTATTAGCTTAAGATTGTATAGCTTAAGATGTATAACATGATTTGATGTATGTATATTATGAAATGATTACCACCATAAGTTTAGTTAACATCTGTCACCCCATAGTTAGATGTTTTTCCTTGGGATGAGAAATATTAAGATCTACTCTCCTAGCAGCTTTTGAGTATGCAGTACAGTATTGTTATCTGTAGTGCGTGCTATACATTAACATATCCCTAGAATATATCATTTTGTTATAGTACAACATTAAGTTAGAAAATTTTTTTCTCAAAAAGTCTAATCAGTCCTTCATGTTCTTTTCTTTTTTTGCTTGATGCTCTTTTGATTTGGTGAAGAATTTGCATAGGTTGTAGTTACAGCATAAATTTTGCAAAATAATAAATATCTTTATAACGGTTTAATAGTTGAGAAAAGTGTAAATTATTCTTTTTTTTGCTATTTAGTTTGAAATTTTGTTTCTGTTTTAAGGAGATTATTTTTTTAATACTAGTTATCTTTGAGTAACTAGAACTTTTTTTTTTTTTTAAAGATATTTATTTGAGAGAGAGAGAGAGAGAGCGAGCATGAGCTGGGGGAGGGGCAGAGGGAGAAGCATACTCCCCTCTGAGCAGGGAGCCGGACACACAGCTAAATCCCAGGACCCTGGGGTCATGACCTGAGCCAAAGGCAGATGCTTAACCCACTGAGCCACCGAGGCACCCCATTTTTTTTTTTTAAGATTTATTTATTTACTTCAGAGAGAGAGTGAAGAGTAAGTGTGCACACCAGTTGGGGGAGGGGCAGAGGGAGACAACCCTCAAGCTTACTCCCTGCTGAGCACGGAACTGGTTCCATGTGGGGCTTGATCTCACGACCCTGAGATCACGACCCAAGCTGAAACCAAGAGTTGGTTGCCTAACTGACTGAGCCACCCAGGCACCCCGAGTAACTAGGACTTCTTTTTTTAAAATCTTTTTTTAAAGATTTTTATTTATTTATTGAGAGAGAGAGAATGGTAGAGAGAGAGCATGAGAGGGAAGAAGGTCAGAGGGAGAGGCAGACTCCCTGCTGAGCAGGGAGCCCGATGCGGGACTCGATCCTGGGGCTCCAGAATCATGACCTGAGCCGAAGGCAGTCGCTTAACCGACTGAGCCACCCAGGCGCCCCCGAGTAACTAGGACTTCTTAAAATTATTTATTCCCTTTAATTGTCCAGCTGTTTTCTCTACTTACCTCTGAGCCCCTTGAGGCCAGGAATCACCTGTGACCCTTATCCTCTGGTCCTATATCTAGTGTTGCTCCAGAGTTTAAATCAGTAAGTGTTGAATTCAATAAAATTATGGTTGTGAAGACTAGGTAGCAACATGGAAAAATACTTCAAAGAGCAGAACCCAGAATTAGATGTATGTTGTGATTATTACTGTGTAAAAGTAATTCTGATTCAAAGGCAATACATTAAAATCAATGGTAGTTTGCATAGATTATACATATGCATAGTTTGGGTAGGATTATGGATATTTATCTAAAGCCCCAATTTTTGATTATATCTTATTTCTTTTAGAAAAAAGCCTGTAGCATATAATTCGAAAAGCTCAAGGCAGAGAGCTTTTACTTTAAGTTTCAGTTTTTTTCTGACTGTAAAAATAACTTATAAAAGTTTTGGGAAATGGGCGCACGTCTGAGTGGCTCAGTCATTAAGTATCTGCCTTCAGCTCAGGTCATGATCCCAGTGTCCTGGGATCGAGCCCTGCATCGGGCTCCCTGCTCCGCGGGAAGCCTGCTTCTCCCTCTCCCACTCCCCCTGCTTGTGTTCCCTCTCTCGCTGTGTCTCTCTCTGCCAAATAAATAAATAAAATCTTAAAAAAAAAAAAGTTTTGGGAAACAGTTTATTTTAATCTTACTTTTCCATCTTCCAAAAGGCATTCTAAAATTTGGCATATTTCCTTGTCTTTTTTTCTGTGCATGTCTTATAGACTAAAGATCACATCTTCACATTAATTTGAATTCTGTGTTTTACTGAACTGTTACTGTATAAGTATTTTCCTTTATTACTAAAAACTCATGTCAGATGGCTGCATAATGTGGGTTTTACTATAATTTATTTAATCATTCCCCCATTATTAGTACAGTGAATATTTTTGTATATAAATCTTTATCTCCAGTTCCTATTATTTTCTTAGGTTCATAAAAGAGAAGTTACTTAATCTTTAAGACTATTGATTTAAGACTATTGAATTTTGGTAGGCCAAAAATAAGTATATTACATTAATTTGATTATTAATGAACAGCTTTTTTCAAATATCACTTGACATCTGAATAGTAGAGTTACATATGGAAGAAAAACGTTGTCTAGAGAGAGCATCTTTCTGGGGTCTGGTAGAGAAAATCCTGTACTGGGAAGGTTGGACTCAAATTCTCCTGCAAAGTCCATCTCTTCTCAGAATCTAGGATTCTCGGAGATTCTGTAACTTCTTTCATAAGACCTCGCAACTTAAAGTTTGCATCACTTTTGCACATGCATGTTTAAGAACTGAGGTAACTATTGAGAAACTGTCTATTCTGGGAATCCCTATTTTGCTTACAGGTGTGTATCTAAAATTTGTTCTTTGACACCTAAACTCATTCTTCAGATAGTTAGAGGAGCTGATAATATCAGTAAGTTTTTGTCTTTTGTTTGTGAGAAGCCTCCATTTGCTGCTAAATACTGTGGGTAATACTGTTACATTTTGGTTCTAGGTGACCAGACTTCTGTGTGGCAGGCCCTGACTTTGCTGGAAGAGGGATTAACCCACAGCCCTTCCAATGCTCAATTCAAATTGCTGCTTGTTCGAATCTACTGTGTGCTGGGGGCATTTGAACCAGTGGTGGATCTGTACTCCAGCCTCGATGCTAAGCATATCCAGCATGACACCATTGGGTTGGTAGTATATACTCTGAATACTGAGCAGCCAGCTGCACCAGCCAGTTTATGCCAGGAGCACAAACTCTTCAATTTTAGCAGTAGAGTTGTTTCTGTTAGTAAGCTTTTTAGATTAAGTAATCCCCCATGATGACCCATTGCAAAGCAGAAAGATTTTTATATCTTCCAGAATTTAATGGTAACTTTTAAATTTGCACAGTTTTGAAAAGGTAACAAAATTTTCCCCAGAGATAGCAAACAGCTATATACTTTGAACACTTTTTCTTAGCACACATTGTCTTGAAGTCTTTATTTCTGCTTTGCAGTTGAGATTAACACATGTACTTCATTTGTTGACCTTAGAGATCCTTTGAATTTGTATTTTGACTATTCTTTATGATGAATCAAGGATATTGTCTCTATTCCCTTTGGTTCCATTAATCATCTGAGCCTAAGAAAGCGTAGCATAGAGCTTTAGGTCTCCCACAAAACTGAAATAACTTTGCTCTTTTTAAAAAAAAAATTGTTGATAGTGGAGGTGGTATGTGGCAAGATATTTTAACTTTCCTGTGTGCCTGTTTCTCTGCTGTAATAATTTGAAGTGTAGTTGATACTGGAAGTGGTAAGTATAACACACTTTCCCCTTTTCCTTTCTGACCTAGCTATCTTCTGACCCGATATGCCGGATCCCTAGGTCAGTATGCTGCCGCAGCCCAGTCCTGCAACTTCGCACTCAGGTTTTTCCACTCCAACCAGAAAGATGTAAGTGAAAAATATTTTTTTAAAATACGTTCTTTTCTGCTGAATGCACACGATTCAGAGAACATCTTCCCTCATGCGGCAAGCGCGCATGTTGAGATGCACCATGCGTACTTGCAGGTGCCCTTAGGCCATAGCTTACTGGCCACGTCTTGTTAGGTAGAGATAAAGAGTTATTTGTGGTTGCTAGAATGGGTGTGTTTAATAGAATCCATGCAGAGGTATAGTTAAAATGGTATTACCGAGTAGGAAGTGGTATTCCTCCTAGACCTATCTTTTAATTTCTAAGAGACTTTTTCTAAGGGTATAAGAGGTAACCCATAAGTGTTTCTGGCCTGGGATGCCATAGAAGATTGTGCAATAGCAGCTGCTCTTTATTTCTGAAGTTTATACTACCGTGCTCCTTGCCCACAGCCAGTGCACTCATATTTTCTTAGAATTATAAAATTGACCAGTTGAAGGACATTTCAAGAAACTTGTTTCAATAGTGTGTTTTAAAGTAGCAATAAATAAGGTAGAGCAATAAATAACATAGAGCTATGTGCCGTAATGAAAGGATGGGATTTGCACCATATTTTTCACTGCACGCAGACTTGGTCTCCACTTGTCAGTTAAGCAGAAGTTTTATGTAGTCTCTAGTCAGTCAACCAGCTGTGCAAACCCACCTAGAACACAGGTGAAAAGAAGGCGAGTCTCTAGGATGGTCATTGCCTGCTTTGTTCTCATGTGCTTCTAAAACTCATTGCCTGGAGTTCGGCCATGCCATGTATCTGCCCATAGTTTTCTGTTTTCATGGTCTAACAGCAACTAAGGAACTTGGCAAGAAAGCTGGTTTTTGGGGTGGTTCTTTTGTAACCTTAATAGCTATGGCTAATCTATCTTCCATTGAATTCTTTAGGCTTGTATTAAATAGAAGACAGAGCAGAGCATTTCTGAACAATGGAATTTAGGTTTATTGTTGTCAGCTTGCAGTAATTTTGTCCTGACAAGCCTTAGGGGAAGGCCTAGAGGCCTGGTGTAGCAAGGGATGGTAAAGCTGTGCATCAGTTGGCTTTTAAGCCCTATTCCCCTTCCCCTATGGTGCCCTTCCTCCAATGATTGGGATCTCTGTTCATACCTTATTTTGTGTCATAGCTCCTGATCAGGGAGAGAAGGAAGTAGTCATCAGCATTTGAACATGCTGCCTGGAAGGTGCTGGCCTGGCTTAGAGATCCGAGGGCATCTCTAGGACCTTGGGTTTCTAAAGTGTCCTAACACAAGTAGGCAGTTGAGTTATAAATCTGTGTTTGTATTGTGTGTTCAGGTATCTGTGCTTGCCCTTCTCTGTTCTTAAGTTTCACTAAGTCAAGGGGAAAAAAAAAACTTTCTCAGATCTCATTATTCTGGCTGTCATTTCTGTATTTCTAAGAAAGAGGTTAAAGAAATATTTGATTAATTAATGACTCCTTTTCAAAGTTTTGTTTCTCAAATAGCTCTGAGGTGGAACTCGGGGATAAATAAGAGATTAATCCATGCCTGGTGGCTGGTTTTATTCTAGTTTTTAATCATCCAGCATTCTAGAAGCATCATATTGTTCCTGATTTGGTCAATAAGGCACATTTCATATACTGCTGAAAATTAACCTTTAATTTTTTCCCCACAATTATTGTGTCTAAAGAGTTGTTCTGAAAACAAAACATACCCACCCCAAAACAAAACAGGTTATTGTTACAGAGAAAGGAGATCCTCAGGAATGATTTGAGAGGGTATTTTATTCTCAGTGGCTTTTTTTTTTTTATCTTTGAAGTTTTGCTGATGCATGTGTAGCAGGAGTGACTAATTGGTCTGAATATATGTGATGCTGGGACTGATCATTTTATTGATCTGGGAGTAGGACTCTGCTTGAAATTTATTTTTATTACTACCAAGAAGAAATAGTTTAATCTTACTGAAGTAAATAATCTTTGGGGAGCCCTAGAGGCAAAAGCAAAAACCCATACAGCAGGGAAAATGCACCTTAAACCTTCATGCCTAGCTTGAGTCCCAAAATAGGGAATTGGAGACTGTGGTGTGGACTGTTTCCTGTAGGAATTTGAGGATAAGAAAGAGCATGATTTTAGTGTTGCCTTGTATGTGTTAAACCTTCTGATAGTATTAGATACATCTCTGGAAACCGAAAGCTCTGTGTTCTGTGTCTTTTATTCTTGGTAGTTTTTGAGATCCCCAGATGGTTTTTTCTTGAGTGACTGATGTATTTCAGTTCCCAACTTGCTCTTTGAAAGAACACTTTTACTCCTTAACTGGAAAATCCAGTGTTCTGCTTTGTAAGGCTTTGTGCTGTGGGATTGAAAGTTATATTTGGAAGGTCTACACAGGGATTTTCTTTCTGGAAAGGTCATCATTGTTGCTGTCATCTTACTTTGGAATAGATTTTTTACAATATGAGACTTAGAGCCAGATCTTCTTATCTCCAAAAGTTACTTATGTGTTTGTACTTTAAAAATAATTTCCCTTTAAAAGTCTGTTCTGGTATTCATGAAGATGATCATTCAGGGTTTGATGTCCATCTATTTTGTTAATTTTTACAGTCACCAGGGTTCATTTCAGGAATCCATATGGGATATAACTAGCCTCATGGTGCACTAAATGAGTAGAAATAGGTACGGACAACATTCTCTGATACTCAAAAGTTTTTAAAGTGCCTGTGGCTTCCGGTTTTGCCTGCAGTTCCAGTAGGGGTTGTCTCTTCAAATTGTAGACCTCCCTCATGCTCAGTCTTACTGCAGGATGCCCAGGCCCTTTTCTAGCTCTGCAGTGATACTTTGCTGCAGCATTAAAGGAGGACTACCTTAAAAACAGAAGCCAGAGAGCTGCAGTTACCTTCTCAGTTTGTTAAAGGACTACATTCCCTTTCTGTTGCCCCTTGTTTTTCTTTTTTAAGAAGTTACTGCCTTTTTTTCAAAAGTGGTATTCCATAGACCACTCAGAAATTAAAACTGCCTCTATACTTTGTAAAGCTGAGTTCTTTTCTTTAATCAGCATATTTTGGAGCTGTAATTGAGAAATTTGATTGGAATCCCCAGAAGTCCTGTTTTTATCCTGATTAATTGCTGGATCATTTTGTTCCTAAGCAGCTGGTTTTTTCGAGCTGTAAGTTCGTGTTGCAAGGGCTGATGGTAAACCTTGCTTTTTCCAAGCCAAGAGGCCATCGGATAGGCATGTTGTGTTTAGAGTATCCTGGCCTCTTCTTGATGGGGCATATCACTGTCCTTTAATCAGGCTAGAAGGTACACTTGAGCTTTTTCGGATAGTCCTTCTTTAAACCTGCAGGATCACAAGTAATCTTTTTAATTTTCTTGTGTCCGTCCGTCTTTAATTTCTCCAGATACTGCAGGCAAACAGCTCGCCGAGGTGTCCCATGGGGTTTAAAAGCCGCATCGAATGCAGTTGAATTAGCGCCCGTGGCGCAATCCCGCGGCCTGAAATGAACCCTGCGAGGCTGTATATCAGAGGGTATGTTGTTGACTATTGGCCTATTTTCCTACTGGGCAAATAATTCAGTCATAATGGAGATGGGGGCAGAGCTGACTGAGGCTGTGTAAAAAGACTGGCTTTTCTAGAAAGGTTCTTTGGGGCAGACATCTACTTTGAGCTTAACATTCCTTGGCCCAAAAGGGTACCCTTCTGACTTCTGATCCTGATGGCATAGGCCCATACCCATGAAATGTTCTTCCCTGAGTTTTTCTTCTATTGTGCCAGAATTTCTGTTGACAGTTCTTTTTCTTGCCTCTGTTCACAACATTTCATCTATACATATGTATTAATCTAAAATTAAAGCACATGTGGTGAGTGTTCCCTTCAATTACTTCTTCATGGAATTTTCCAGCATAGGTCTTACGTAGTTTGGATGGACAAGACACCTGGTTCTTGCAGTCTTTCTGTCCTCAGAATGGAGTCTGATGAATTCTTATGGGTCTTTTGTTTGTTGTCTTCTATCCTGATGTAATGCATATATGCCCTGTGTTTGTGATACATAGTACTCAGAAATAAACAAAACCAAGGAGCAGCCTGTCTTTTTTCTGGAGGAGGGTGATTTTTATTTGGGTTGGTGGTGGGGTGGTTATATTATTCTGGTGTTTTTGGATCCTTTGTATAAAACACAATTTATCTTAGATGCAGAAAAACATGGAGTAACATCCCTTCCACAATGGCACTAACAAACTGACGTGGTATCGCAAAACCTCCAGTCCTCCTGAATTGAAAGACATAACTGCTAAGAGAAAGTCTCTGTGGTGGTAGCAGCAGTTGGATATTAGTAGTAGTAGAATTAGTAAAGTACACATACAACTCTGGTATAGGAAAGAAGAAAAATAATGTTTTTTAAAGCTGATATTCTACTTGATAACCTTTAAAGATTAGATTTCACATCTTAATTTTTAGTTTGAGTGTTTTGTTTTGCCTGGCAAGGTTTGCCTTCATTGTCTGATCTGTGAAATATTTATACGGAGGTGATGTCTTTCCTTCCCAGACCTCAGAATATATTATTCAAGCTTACAAATATGGTGCATTTGAGAAGATCCCAGAGTTTATCGCTTTTAGGAACAGGCTGAATAATTCTCTTCATTTTGCACAAGTCCGTACTGAACGGATGTTATTAGACCTTCTACTTGAAGCAAATATGTAAGTATTGCACAAGAGCTAAAAAGGAACTAAGGATTAGATCAGAACCTGAGAGCCATTAATGGGCTCCTGGGTGATAATAGCAGGCCTAGGCTAAGGAAAAATGGGGGGAAAAAAAAGAGAGAATGAGAGAGAGGAAGTTCGGAGTAGAGAAGAAAGGGGAAATGACCCAGGTCATGTCGTGGGGAATGATGGGCGCTACCAGCACCGCACCATCTCATGTCACATACACAAGCCAGCCACCCCACTCCATGTGGTGTTTAAAGGGTTTCCCTTCCCCTGTTAAACATGGGATTTCAGGAATTAATGTTGATCCACTTCCAGATGCTTTCTCTTGCTGTGTAGCAGGCCAGCATGATATGGGCTTGGTTCTGTGTCATCCTCTGTGAACTTTTACTTCTTAATAGTAAATCCTTCTTCCTCTTTCTTGTCCTTTCTAGTAAAACAGAGTTGTAGCTAATATGTTTTCATGGCTGTTTTACTATTGAAATAATACATAAATTTTCTGTATCACAGATCAACCAGTTTAGCAGAAAGTATAAAGTCAATGAATCTTCGGCCAGAAGAAGATGACATTCCGTGGGAAGCCTTGCGAGACAACAGAGACTTAAATGTTTTCTTTAGCTGGGATCCAAAAGACAGGTAACTGGAATTAAACCCCAGGTATTTATTTTTGAACAATTAGGATGAATCTAAGAGATACAGAAAAAAATTTCTTTTTTACACAAATAAAATAACATAGTTATTGTAGAGATAAGAAGGTATAGGTAAGCCAAATGAAGAAAATGACTCTCACTCCTATGTTGGATTGCTGGCTAGTCTAAAAATTAGATTGTCCTTCATAGCATACATGAAAAGAGGTTCCAGATGCATTAAAGGTTATGTGCTAAAACCCCTTAGAAGTTCTATAAGAAAATTTTAAAAAATAAATAAATTTTTTTTTTTTTGGAGAGAGAGCATGGGGGTTGGGGGCTGCAGGTGGGGTGGGGCGGGAGCAGAGGGAGAGGGAGGGCGCAAATCCCAAGCAGGCAGCACACCCTGTGCAGAGCCTGATCTGGGGCTCGATTTCGAGATCATGACCTGAGCTGAAATCAAGAGTCGGACACTTAACCGACTGTGTCATCCAGGCACCCCTAAAAAATATTTTTAAATGGTTAGGGAAAGCCTTTCTTAGCATTACATCAAACCTGGAAACAAAGGATTTGGTTTCTGTAACTATTAACCTTCTATATAGAAGTAAATTTGTTAACAAGTTCTAAAGGTATGTGGTAGATTGGTAATTTTCTTCGTATAAATATCTTTCACATAAAGGGAGACTTTTTTTAAAGTTTTTTTTTATTTTTTTTTAAGATTTTATTTTTCATTTGACAGAAGAGAGACACAGAGAGAGGGAACACAAGCAGGGGGAATGGGAGTGGGAGAGGGAGAAGCAGGCTTCCCGCGGAGCAGGGAGCCCGATGTGGGGCTCGATCCCAGGACCCTGGGATCATGACCTGAGCCGAACGCCGATGTTTAACTGACTGAGCCACCCAGGCGTCCCTAAAGGGAGAGTTCCTAATAAATCAGTAAGAAGAAGATAACTAAAAAACAAATTGGACTTAAGAAATTCAAAGAGATGTACCTTATAGTGATAAAGATTTTTTTTTTAACTATTGGACAAAGATAAAAAAAGATTAATACTTGTGGTCAGCAAGGTTGTGGGGAGAGAGGTTGTTGTACATTGACATGGGGATATAACTTTATATAATCTTCCTGTAGAGAATTTTAGTAATCTGTATTAAGATTGAAAACTCTATCCCACTTAATTCAGCAGATCACTTCTAGGCAAGTACAACCAAAGGCAGTAAGTGCACAAGCATGCAGAGAAATGTATATGAGGTAGTTCTGAATATACATTTGACCCCTGAACAATGCAAAGTTGGGGTCTGACCCCCTAGCACAGTCGGAAATCCATGTGTAACTTTTAACTCCCCAGAAACTTAACTACTAAGAGCGTACTATTGACTGGAAGCCTTGCCTATAACATGAACAATTGATCCGCACATATTTTGTATGTCGTATATTATATCCTGTATTCTTACAATAAAGTAAGCTAGAGAAAGAAAATGTTATTAAGAAGATTACAAGGAAGAGACAATACATTACAGTACTGTACTGTATTTACAGAAAAAAAAAAAATCTGTGCATAAGTGGACCCATGCAGTTCGAATCAGTGTTGTTCAAATGTCAACTGCACTATGATTTGGGGATTGCCAAGACCACATTCAGTGATTTGCTAGGACTCATAATTAACCTATAGTTGTCTTCACAGCTAAGGTTTATTATAACAGGACAAATGATAGGATTAGCAAGGGAAAAAGACACAAAATCTGGAAAACTCCATGCACAGACTTCCAGTGCTCTCTCCCTCCTGTGTTCCTAGCAGCAAAAAAATGCAGTGATGTGTGTATAGCATTTCTGCCCAGAGAAGCCCATTTGAGATTTGGTGCCCAAGGTTTTTACCAGCTGGTTATGTAAGCACCCTCTGTCCATCATGTGTCAACATTCCAGACTCCCAGAAGGAAAGCAGACGTTCACCATAGACCATATGGTTTGTACAGAAAGCCTAGGCATAGTGAGCCACTGTTATCATTTAGGGAATGGTTGGAGTGCCAAGTTCCTAGACCTCAGCTAAAGGTCAACCTTGCAAGCTGGCCCTTCTAAAGATAATAGCCTCAGGCTTTCTATGTTAATTCTTTTCTGCACACTGTCAAAAAAGATGTCGTTTGCAAAATAGTATAAATATTATGAACCCATTTTATTTAAAACATGTCAAATTATATATATATATTTTTTAAAGATTTTATTTATTTATTTGACAGAGAGAGACACAGCGAGAGGGGGAACACAAACAGGGCGAGTGGGAGAGGGAGAAGCAGGCTTCCCGCAGAGCAGGGATCCTGATGCGGGGCTTGATCCCAGGACTCTGGGATCATGGCCTGAGCCGAAGGCAGATGCTTAACGACTGAGCCACCCAGGCGCCCCTATATAAATATTTTTAGTTGCAGTTTTGTACATCTGTATTGTAAGAGTCTGAAAGGATTGATACCAAGCTTGTTAATATTGCAGGTGTTTGGTTATCGCACATTTTTCTATTTTTCAGTTTTCCGTCATTTGAAGTTTTTATATCGTGTATTTTGTTGAAAATGCGTGATACAAGAATTTTCAACAACATTTTCAACAAAATACATGATAAATATTTTGTTATTAGAAGTCTCACTGAAGCGGAAAAATGACCTGTTAGGTAGGTTATCATTCCCCATTTTATTGATCCTGAATTGGGGACTTGGGTGATTGGGTTTATCTGAGATCATTCAGCTAGGAGACGAGCACCGGGACCATTCAATGGCATCTTGCCTGATGGAAGTAAAGCCTAAAAGATGTAAAGGCAACACATTGAATAAAATGGATGGTTTGGGGGCACCTGGGTGGCTCAGTTGGTTAAGCGACTGCCTTCGGCTCAGGTCATGATCCTGGAGTCCCGGGATCGAGTCCCACATCGGGCTTCTTGCTTGGCAGGGAGTCTGCTTCTCCCTCAGACCCTCCTCCCTCTCATGCTCTCTATCTCTCATTCTCTCTCTCTCAAATAAATAAATAAAATCTTTAAAAAAAAAAAATAAAATGGATGGTTTGGGGATGTTTCTTTTTAAGGGATGTTTCTGAAGAACATAAGAAACTTTCCTTGGAGGAGGAGACCATGTGGTTAAGAATCCGTTCCTTAACATTGAGGCTGATCAGTGGACTTCCAAGTCTAAACCACCCCGTGGAGCCAAGGAACTCGGAAAAGACCACTGAGAATGGTGTGTCCTCCCGGATTGATATTCTTCGTTTACTCCTTCAACAGCTGGAGGTGGCCATGGAGACGGGAAAGCGATTTATTGAGAAGGAAGTTCAGGTATCATCAATATGTGTTTACCATCAAAGCTGCAATAACCTATGACTGTCTTTTTTAAAAATAGAAATTTGGGGGTGGATGAATAGTAAAAGAACAGTATTTTGTCCCAGTTTATGGCACCTCTAGGAAAAACCTGATTTTATAGACTTGGGAATTACAGAGGCTTCCTCACTATCCAAACTGGATAGCGAGGAAAAGCAAAACAGCTTTATTTGTAATGGTAAATACCATTAAAAATGGTATTTTTAATAGTTCTCAGCAAACTAATACAGAGTTTCTGTTTTCACCATAATGATTCAGTTGTTAGTTATTTAGATCAGTGGTTTGCAACTTAATCACTGAGATAGACTTTATCCAATAGTTATAGTCCCATGTTTTCTTGTTTTATATAAATTTAGATGGATTTAAAGGACATTACTTTTTCCCCTTTTTTTCCAGTATCCTTTCCTTGGTCCTGTACCTACCAGAATGGCTGGATTCTTTAGTTCTGGCTGTTCTCAGTGTCAGACCAGTTCTTTTTATCTTGTTAGTGATATTTATGAACTGGACACCAGTGGTTTAGGTAAGTATACATTTGCATGAGTGTATTTACTAGGTCTTTGTCTTTGAAAACTTAGTAAATATAACAGTTCACATATTTGGACAGATTGGGAGGAGGCGGAAGGTGTTCTGTCTGGTTTAATATCAAAGAAGGTACATTCCTAGGTTACCAAGTAATGTTTTAGAAATTTAAATCTTCCCTACTTAAAATCACTTGTTAGGTCCAAAAGTTGAAAAAATCCTTAATTTGTTGAAGTATTGTTGGATTTCAGATTGAATTCTCTACGAAACTTTGTGTAAAAGACTATTTTCCTAACTCAGTGTGAATCACACATATTCCATTAATTCCCCCCACCAAATCATAAGGTTTGTGGATTCTGTCATTGAGAGTATTTGAAGCACATAGATTTTAAGTCTTCCTAGAGAACTTTAGGTATTACTTTTGAGAGAAAGGTAATTAATGCCCTTTTTTCCTTTTACTCTCTTTTATCTTTTTGTCTCTTAGTAATGAAATTTGATACCTGTGAGTCTTAAGAGTAAAGAAAATGTCCTTGCCCATGAGTTGCTTGCAGTTGTTGATCTTAGTTCTTTTTCTTCCTAAAAAAATGAATCGAATGTTTTTTCATTTTTTTTTTCCAATTTTAGAGGATACAGTGGAGATCCAGGATCGAGTAGAGAATAGTCTTAAGTCTTTACTAGAACAATTAAAAGGTAAGCATTCTGACTGTGGACTCCCATATTTTATTGATTGTCTGACAGGAACTCATTTTTTTTTAGCAGAAATTTGCAAGAGTTGCAAACAACAACTTGAAAGTAATGCATACTTTTGGTATTTTGAAAGACTTATTTTTAATTTTAAAAAGTGTTGATTACAAAAGTAGTAGACAACCTACTATAAAACAGTACACAAGTGGGTATGATCTTTCTCCCATTCCCAGCTCCATTCCCCCAGAGAGAAGTAAACACTTTTACTTACAAGGTAAGTAACACTTTTGGAGTCTGTACTCCCAGATGCCCCCTAAACAGTCTTACATGTGTATGTGGAAATACATAGTAGTGATTTTATTTTTTTAAACACACGAAAAGGTATAATACAGACTTTTTTTTATTTTAATGTTTTTTTGTCTTGAACATTTACCATGTCAGTTATATATAATATGCCACAGTACTGTATCAGTGTACTAAGTTTATTTATGTATGCCCCATGGAGTATATAACATACTATATACTTGAGTTATTTATAACTGTATTTATAATAATGCTGAAGTGAACATCTTGGGACATAAGTGTTTGGGTACTTACTTGAGCATTTCCTTGGGATTAAATTCCTGGAAATAGAATTGTTTGGTACAAGAGGACATAAATGCATTTCAAATCTATAAGGATCTTTCTTTTCAAGAGCATAAATGGTCTTTTATTTTATTGCCCAACTGAAGAATGATAATTAAAAGACAAAGATTGTGAGAATAAAACATGGCATTTATTATGAAGGTGAATTTCTATTTTGCGCCTTAGTCTTTTAGTCCATAATGGCATACATTCTTTTAAATCATTCATTTGGAGTCTTAATTTTATTGTGGCAGTGGCCTGTTTGTGGAAAGGCTAGCTGGTGTTTAGACTCTAGAATGTATAACTTATAAGGCCACCTTTTATATTTTGAAGGCAACAGAGCAATAGTTACATGGCTTTTTAAAGAGCTTAAAGTAGGGGCTCCTGGCTGGCTCAGTTGGTAGAGCCTGCGACTCTTGATCTTGGGGTTGTGAGTTTGAGTCCCACCTTGGGGGTAGAGATTAAAAAGCTTAAAATAGATATCCTTTGTTGTTTGGTTCACTGTGGGGGGAAAAGCTTTCTGGATCAAGCTTTTTGTATTTGCTTACTCTTTATTAGAGTGTACATTTGTATTCCTAAAAATATCATTGAAACAAAAGCTGAATAAAACAATAAAATACTTTCCTGTTTTCAGATGTCTTCAGTAGATGTAAAGGTGACCTCTTAGAAGTTAAAGATGGTAACTTGAAAACACGCCCTGCTCTTTTAGAGAACCTAGTCTTCTTTGTTGAGGTATGTCTTTGTTCTCTTCCTGAAAAACTCGGTTTTCCTTAATTGAGTGAAGGATTAATTTTTAAAAAATGAACAGGTAATAGGCACTTTACACCTGTAATTTAATCCTCCACCCCCACCTTTTGTTAAGTGAAAAGCAATTTAAATCATTAAAAAATTTTTTTTCAAATTTTATTTTATTATGTTATGTTAATCACCATACATTACATCATTAGTTTTTTTTTTTTATTTATTTATTTATTTATTTGACAGAGAGACACAGCGAGAGAGGGAACACAAGCAGGGGGAGTGGGAGAGGGAGAAACAGGCTTCCCACTGAGCAGGGAGCCCGATGTGGGGCTCGATCCCAGGACTCTGGGATCATGACCTGAGCTGAAGGCAGCCGCTTAACGGACTGAGCCACCCAGGCACCCCCCCCATCATTAGTTTTTGATGTAGTGTTTCATGATTCATTGTTTGCGTATAACACCCAGTGCTCCATGCAATATGTGCCCTCTTTAATACCCATCACCAGGCTAACCCGTCCCCCCACCCCCTCATCATTTTTGAATGAGTTCCTTCCAAGCATACTAAGAAGGTTTTGTTCGTAATGAATAAAACTTGCAATTTGCTTTACCAGTCTTTAAAAATTCCTCAGATTCACTCCAAATCCGCCTGTTCTTCTTTCCTTTTTGACTCAACTGTTACATATTTTAAGTTAACCACCAGCTCTTTGTTTATTATTTATTTATTTATTTTACCATGGATTTTTTTTTAATTAACATACAATATATTATTTGTTTCAGGGGTACAGGTCTGTGATTCATCAGTCTTACACGGTACACAGCGCTCACCACAACACATACCCTCCCCAGTGTCCATCACCCAGCAACCCCAACCACCAGCTTTTTCTATTTATTTATTTATTTATTTATTTAATGAACATATAATGTATTATTTGTTTCAGGGGTACAGATCTGTGATTCATTAGTCTTACACAATTCACAACACTCATCATAGTATATACCCTCCCCAATGTCCATCACCCCAGCCACTGCATCCCTCCCACCCTGCTCCACTCCAGCAACCCTCAGTTTGTTTCCTGAGATTAAGAGTCTCTTATGATTTGTTTCCCTCTCTGGTTTTGTTGTTTCATTTTTTCCTCTCTTCCCCTATGATTCTCTGCCTTGTTTCTCAAATTCCACGTATCAGTGAGATCATATGATAATTGTCTTTGATTGACTTATTTCACTTAGCATAATACCCTGTAGTTCCATCCACATCATTGCAAATGGCAAGATTTCATTTTTTGATGGTTGCATAATATTCCATTGTATGTATATACATCTTCTTTATCCATTCATCTCCAGCCACCAGCTTTTTAAATTTGTTGTTGCTATTCACTAATTACTAAGATTCCGCATTTTTTTTTTTAAGATTTTATTTATTTATTTGACAGAGAGAGACACAGCGAGAGAGGGACACAAGCAGGGGGAGTGGGAGAGGGAGAAGCAGGCCTCCCGCTGAGCAGGGAGCCCGACATGGGGCTCAATCCCAGGACCCTGGGGCCACGACCCAAGCCGAAGGCAGACGCTCAACGACTGAGCCACCCAGGCACCCCTAAGATTCTGCATTATGAAGGAAGCAAAACTTTCTCCTCTTTTTTAACCAGAGAGAAGAGGAGGATTGCAAACACTCATAATCCATTATCTTATTTTTGTCACATGTTTATTTACTTTTCTCTTCCTCCTAGTCTGTTCTGGTGACTAGCACAGTGTAAGTGTCTAAGACTGAACAGATCAGTAATAATTGCATGGGTGTGTCCATACACTCTGTAGCAGAGAAGCAGCATAGGTATAAATACGTAACTTAAAGGAGGAAACGTGCTGACCAAGGAGATTTCTCTGTTTTTTGTGTTTTTTTGTTGTTTTTGTTTTTTTTAGAGAGCATGGGGGGAGGGGCAGAGGGGGAGAGAGAATCTTTTTTTGTTTAAAGATTTTATTTATTTATTTGAGAGAGAGTGTACAGAGGGAGAGGGACAAGCTGACTGTGCTGAGTGCAGAGCCCCATGTGGCGCTCTATCCCATGACCCTGAAATCATGACCTGAGCCTCAATCAAGAGTCAGACGCTTAACCAACTGAGCCAGGGGCCCCGAAGGAGAGAGAATCTTAAGTTGGCTCCACGCCCAGCATGGAGCCTGACGTTGTTCTTGATCTCACAGCCCTGAGATCGTGACCTGAGCCGAAATCAAGAGTCGGATGCTTAACTGACTGAGACAGCCAGGCACCCCTCTCTGTTTATATTTAAGTTAAGATTTGTAGGTGAGCTAATATCTTACTGGGCTGGGAGGTGGGTGGGGAGAGGCATATTGTAATGAATCTTTGGATTCCATGCATAGGAATTTGGACCTCTCACTTGAGTGAAAGGGATTTCTACTTCCTGTAAGGGAGTGAAAGGAAACTGGACCAAGTGGAGGATGGCTTTAGGGCTGGATGAGCTAGAAGTGAGGTTAAAGATTGAAGCAATCGTAGTATTCTGAGCAGTATTCAGATGAAGGTCTTCTGGATCTGTGTGGTAATTGTAGAAATTAATCTCTCTAATCTGTAGTAGAGAGCTAGAGAAGAATTTGAAGGGATTTGCACAGAAGAACTGTCAGCAAGGATTGTTTAATCCATAACCCTTAACTGTTCCTGATAGATGTCTTGAATATAATCCTTATTGATGAATTTGCAATTTTTCCTCTTTTAGACTATTTCTATTATCCTTTGGGTGTCCAGTTACTGTGAGAGTGTCCTGCGACCATACAAATTAAATTTACAGAAAAAGAAAAAGAAGAAAAAAGAAACCAGCATCATCATGGTAATAACAGAGAAAATACAACCTGGCTGCATGCTGCTTTTTCTTTTCACTGTTTTCCTGCATATTATAAGAGACCTTAGGATCCTGTGTACTCATTTTCTCTCCCCAGCTTGTTTTTGTTTTTAAATTACACACCTGTAGTAAAGCCGAAACACTAGCATGATGACGCCCAGATATCCTTACCTAGATTCGCGTGTTGATCCCACTTTGCCCCATATGCTTTCTCTTTCTCTCTCTCATCCTGTCATCTACCCCCCTTGTTTGTTGAACTGTTTGAAAGAAAAGTATAGACTTTGTGATACTGAACAGGATAGAACAGGGCAGTCTCCTACAAAACCACAATGCTCACATTTTCACAGTCCGGACATTAGATTGATAGGATAATATTATAATGTCTATGTTCAGATATCCCCCTTTATCCCAATTGTGTCCTTTATTATAGCCTTTTTCAAAATACTAGAATCCTATTAAGGATCTGACCTGGCTTTTAGTTCTCATGTCTTTTTACCCTCCATTAATCTAAAATACTTCCATAGCCTTTTTGGTGAAGAGAGTCTAGCTAGGTTTTTGGTAGAATGTCTGGCAGTCTGGATTTGGTTAATTATTTCTTTGGGTTTAGGTTCAACAAAAATGCATCTGTTTTAGCACATTAAATCAGGAGGCACTAAGGTTGTTATGTCCCATTTTTGGTGCTTTTAGATTTAATTATTTGATAAAGGAAATGTCTATGGATTTCTTCATTGTAGAGGTGCCTTTTCCCCCTGTAATTATTAAGTCATCTGTAGGATGACGCTTCGAGACTGTGAATAATCCTATTCCCTTACCATCCTTTCACCTACTGGTTTTAGCATCCACTGTTAAGTCTAACTTGCATGAATCATTTGGTACCCTGACGGTGCCACAATGGTGATTTTTAAAAATTCTGTCAATCCTTTATCACCTATTAGCATTTTTCTGTAAAAGAGAGCTGTCTCACCCCCATTCGTATATATATATATATATATATATTTGTGTGTATAGTTTTTAATATTACTATTTGAGTATCATTCTTTTTAAAATTTCTCTTCTAATCCATTATAATCATTCTGTTGTGCATGCTCAGATTTGGCTAATGGGAGCGACTTTAAGCTGGATCCTGTCTTTGAACATATCCCCACCAGCTTTGGAGCCCTTGTTTCCTGGAACAGCAAAAATGCTCCGTCCCCCTTGTTCCCTTGAACTGAACTGAGACATTGTTCGAAGGAGCCCTGCCTGGTTCCTTTATGGGGAGTGGCATTTCAAAACCAAGATCTAGGTGTTAGGTGTACTAATTGTTAATGGGGTTTCGAGTTTATGTTAGTGGAAAGAGACAGGAAATTTATTTACTTTACATTCTTATTCTGTGTGTTTGCCTGTGTAAAGTAAAATAAATTCTTTTAGTCCAGCATCATAGCATTCTTCCTTCTTTTCTTTTCCTCATTCCAGTTTGTAGCTCCAAGTTTGAACCCCGGTTCCCTACAGCATCAATATATTTATTTCACTTGTTTTACAAGAAATACTAAATAGTTTTGGAATTACATCAGTATATCATTTGCATTACTAGTTTCAATAAGCCACTAAATAAAGTTCAAATTGTCTGCAGTTTTTCTTTGTCCTTAGAATATGTTCCAGTGAATAGAAACAGTTGAGGTACTCGGTAAAAACACTGGAATTAAAAACTGAGATTATATTATTAGTATGATATAAATAAGATTCACTTATTTCTCTTTGTCTTCAATTTTGGAGTGTCCTCCCATCTTTATTGATTTAATTTTTTGAATGTGTAAAACATTAACATAATTTGTATCCTTTTCATAAGGAAAGTTTTTTAGGATTCATTCTGCACAGGACATGCTGTTTTATTAATGTTTGAGTTTATCCTGTCATTCTAAATGGGAGATTTTTCTTCACTGTAGCAACATACAGTGACTATTATCATTTGAAAATGTTGATGGTTTTAGTGGTAATATGGACTTCGTGCATAATTCAGTAACAATTCAGGAATTCTTTAGATTTGACACTGTGCTTTGCTGGATGTTTCCATTCATTCAGAAACAAAGGGTAGTTATATTTGGATGAGGGGCTAAGTGAAGGAACTTTCCTCTCCTCTTTTTTCAAGATAATTTAACAGATGAATGTAAAGTTTGAAAATACAGATAAAAGTTGCTCTGTTATTCTCTTCCTCTAATGAAAGCCTATGTTCCTAGAAAATGTTGAATAGCTTATTGGTATTTGGATTTTGGGGCAGGGGTGGTGGTGGTTTGTAGTTATTGCTTTTCTAATTTCTAAAAATGAGAACAGCTTTCCTATTTTTTTGATCATCGAAGTAACCTAAAGGTGTGAATAAAGTGAAGATCACTCATATTCCCACCAACCAGTGATCACCACTGCAAACAAGCCAGAATTATGCTCTATATCTGCAACTTGCCTGTTTGTGTTTTCACTTAACAGGGTACCTTGGACATCTCTTTTGGAGATACATAGATGTATCCCGTTAACTTTTTTTTTTTTTTTAAGATTTTATTTATTTGAGAGAGAGAGAATGAGAGCGTGCATGAGCTTGCTTTACTAACTGATTGGCCAGGTTTCTTGTGTTTGTCTGATTTTTAAATTGTGTCATATGTTGCTGGGATTTCTTTGATATATTTTCTGTTCATATCTTTGCCCAGGTTTCCATTTGTGGTAGTATTTTTCCTAATGATATATTTTAAGCTATTGGGCTCTTAATAATGTTATTAATTCTGTATCCCATATGATGCAGTTTTTTTTAGTTTTTCATTTACCTTTTAACTTGAGTAATTTTTTGGTCAACATAGTAATTAAAAAAATTTTTTTAATGGTTCTTAGCTTGGTGTAATGTTTAGAAAGCCTTTTCAATTTATTATACAAGCCTTTACCTCAATTTTCTCCTGGTGCTTTGGTGGATTTTTTAAAACTTAGATATTTACTCTATTTGGAATTTATTTTGGTACTTTTTGTTTATTTTTTTAATTAATTTATTTTTTTAAGATTTTATTTATTTATTTGACAGAGAGAGGCACAGGAAGAGAAGGAGCAGAAGCAGGGGGAGTGGGAAAAGCAGGCTTCCTATGGAGCAGGGAGCCCGATGCGGGGCTCGATCCCAGGACCCTGGGATCATGACCTGAGCCGAAGGCAGATGCTTAATGACTGAGCCACCTAGGCGCCCCTATTTTGTTTATTTTTTAAAAGATTTTATTTTGGGGGCACCTGGGTGGCTCAGTTGGTTAAGCATCCAACTCTTGGTTTCGGCTCAAGTCATGATCTCATGGGTTATTGGGCTCTGTGCTCAGTGGGGAGTCTGCTTGAGATTTTCTCCATCTGCCCTTATCCCTACTTGCGTGCTTGCTCACTCTCTCTCAAATAAGTAAATGTTAAAAAAAAATTACTTTGAAGTCATCCCTACACCCAAGGTGAGGCTTGAACTCAAGACCATAAGCCCCAAGATCAAGAGTTGCCCTGCTCTACTGACTGAGCCAGCCAGGTGCCCCTATTTTATATTTTCAGATAGCTAGTTATCTCAGTATCATCTCAGTACCATTCATCCACTGCAAACCACTGTTTTGAGATAGCACCATTTACATTCCCTTACAGTCTTTGGTTTATCTTGGGACTTGTTTCCTTTCACTTTTTATTTCACTTATATACCAGTACTGTCTGGATTTCATGTAACTTTATAATATACTCTAACATATATGAGGGCAAGTTTCCCTTAATTGCTATTTTTCAGAATTTTTGTGACTGTTGTTACCCATTTTTTTTTTTTTTAAGATTTTATTTATTTGACAGAGACAGAGTAAGAGAGGGAACACAAGCAGGGGGAGTGGGAGAGGGAGAAGCAGGCTTCTGGGCTCGATCCCAGGACCCTGGGATCATGACTTGAGCCAAAGGCAGACTCTTAAATGACTAAGCCACCCAGGCGCCCTATTACCCATTATTTTTTCTATTGGAACTTAGAAAACTCTATTTCTGTTATTAACATTAGAGGAAATCTCAGATATAGAGAAGAAATGATATTTTGGTTCCTCTCATCTTCTTTAGTGTTCCAGAAGATTCTCAGCCTGAAGTTGAGTAATGACCAACTAAGATATTTTCTGTTGGTTTTTCCATCTCCAGTTCCCCAGAGTGAATAAACCCCATTTAAAAAAAATGCTTCTCATTGTTGCTGAGTTAAGCATTATTTGGTGGCAATTAAGTTTACCTTGGTTTGAGAGACTGTCTTAATATCCAAAACTGTGTCCATCCTGGTTACTATTAATAGCATTGAGTAATACTGGAGCAGGAAATTAATACAGCTTATGAGATGTAAGCAGAGGAAATATGTTTGATACTCTTTCATCTTTTTAAAAATCTTTTTTTCCAGCCACCTGTCTTCACCAGTTTCCAAGACTATGTTACTGGGCTTCAGACTTTAATTTCCAACGTCGTGGATCATATTAAAGGGCTTGAAACACATCTAATTGCACTTAAACTTGAAGAACTTATTTTAGAAGATACTTCTCTCTCACTGGTAAGAGACTATAGGCGATCAGCACTAAGTTATTTGTAGATACTCACGTGTTCTTTTCTTTATCACAAGGACAAGTTAATTTCAATTCATCATCTGTCTCATATAGGACTTGTGATTGGAAGGTGCCTGGCAGCAGTGTTTTGTTGTGTCATTATTGGTGGTGGGTTCCCCTCCCCCTTCACTTCTCCCCACCCCATTACCTCCTTTCTGTACATTTTGGGGGTTGTTCTTTTACTGTGAAGACTGATGATTAATTAATGAGGAATACAATTAGAACTATTCGTATTGTGAACAACAGAGGAAACCAGCCATTGAGATCCAGGGACAGTCTCCTTGAGTAAGAAGTTACCTGCTGCTGGGTTGGCTGGTTTCTTTGCTACCCCAGCAGTTACCACCTGAAAAAGAGATGCTGGACATCATAAATAATTATGTCAGTAATAATTAGGCTGGAGCGTAAGCCAGTCAAAAGGGGAAATGGAGCCAAGCATGGAATCAAAGCTGTCACTCATTAGATTTCTCCTGGTAATTACTTTAGACTAGTTTCTTAAAAATTTGTTAGCAAAATCCTTATAAAGTCTTGCCTTTAAGGTATGTATTCTTTAAAAAATTTAAATTAGTAAACTTTTAGTTTGAAATGATTGTCAGGTGAGTTAACATTCACCAGCCTAGTTGCTCTAGTGATGAAACTCCAGTCATGAGGGAGTGCTCCCTTGAGGAGTTCATCTGACCTGAGCCTCTGCTAGTGAGGGAGCTCATCCACTAATGAGAGCAGCCATCATTTCTAGCCCCAGACCTTTCCAGGAGGAGAATGAATGGAATCTTATTTGGCACACAGTTTTAAAGATTGTTAAGCCCCTCATTTGTAAAGCTTCAACTCATTAGAGCTATAAACAAGGGGCTTACTGTGGGAAGGGGCTCAGAGCCTTTAATAACATTTCCAAAGACTGGTTAAAGAAAGCAGATGTATTCAGAGGTGACACTAGAAGTTTGGTTTTAGACAGTTAAGCTGTCTTTCCTATATACATTAGAACGAATATAGACTTCAGTGGTGAGTAGGACTAATTGATGGATTAATTCTTTAGTATTTTTGTTTTATTTATTTAGTCTTCCTTTTTTCAAGCTTTACAAATTGTTTTAAAAAGTAAAATAAGCACATGGTAAAAAAATGGCATAAATAAAGACTGTATAGTGAAATGTCTTCCTCCCATTCTAACACATTTCCTTGTTCGTTTCCAAGAAGGAACCATTGTTGTTGGTAGTTTCTTGTACAATCTTCCTGAGTCGATAACCCAGCTACAAGCATATGATGTCTGTTTCCTTCCCCACAACCTTTCTCACTTTTAAACCCAAATGATAGCATACTATACTATAGCATATATACTATAGACAATATACAGAAGTATATAGAAATATACTGTATACTACTGGAAATAGAGAATGGCACCTCTCATTTCTCAGCCCCAGATAAGTCCCAGTCTCATCATCAGAACCATTCCCACCTCTTCCTCTTCTGTATTCCTATAACACATTTGTATCTGCCACTAGCCTTTATAATTTCTGGGCACTTGGGGAGCCAGTAAAGGCCTAGTAATTGAATTCTTTTTTCTTTTTTTTAAAGATTTATTTATTTGAGAGAGAGAGAATGAGAGATAGCATGAGAGGGAAGAGGGTCAGAGGGAGAAGCAGACTCCCTGCTGAGCAGGGAGCCCGATGTGGGACTCGATCCCAGAACTCCAGGATCATGACCTGAGCCGAAGGCAGTCACTTCACCAACTGAGCCACCCAGGTGCCCCTAGTAATTGAATTCTTGAGAAATAGGTACATCCGGGCGCCTGGGTGGCTCAGTTGGTTAAGCGACTGCCTTCGGCTCAGGTCATGATCCTGGAGTCCCTGGATCGAGTCCCACATCGGGCTCCCTGCTTGGCGGGGAGTCTGCTTCTCCCTCTGACCCTCTTTCCTCTCGTGCTTTCTATCTCTCATTCTCTCTCTCTCTGAAATAAATAAATAAAATTAAAATTAAAAAAAAAAAAAAGAGAAATAGGTACATCCTAGCTAGGATTCTTGCCTTCTACCTCCCACTTGCACACCCCTCTGAAAGAAGAGATACTTGATGGTCTATTTGGAATACTTTTACATATAGAGAAATATGGTAATTAGTGGTAGATTTCCAGCTTTTTGACTTTTTAGGACAAACCCAAACTTATTCTCTACCCCAAACTCTCATCCCCTTTCCCGAATATTGTAGAACAATAAAAATCAAAATTATAGTATTGTTAAAAAAAAAAAATCTTAGGGACGCCTGGATGGCTGTCAGTTAAGCGTCTTCCTTCAGCTCTGGTCATGATCCCAGGGTCCTGGGATCGAGCCCCGCATCGGGTTCCTTGTTCAGCAAGGAGCCTGCTTCTCCCTCTGCCTCTGCCTCCTCCTTCTGCTTATGCTTGCTCCTTCTCCCTCTGACAAATAGATAAAATCTTAAAAAATATCTTAAAGATCACAAACTGGAATGAATGTCACATTGCTTCATGTCACATGCTTCATTGGGCTTTGCTGGTGGGTACCTTTGAGATTGTTAATACAAATTTATTGAGCTTGCCGTTTTGGGTAAATGCTCATAAAATACAGTGATCAAAAGACCTGGCTGTAACTCTGGAAAACAGTATGGAGGTTCCTCAGAAAGTTGAAAATAGAGCTGCCCTGTGACCCAGCAATTGCACTACTGGGTATTTACCTGAAGGATATAAACACAGTGATTGGAAGGGGCACGTGCACCCCAGTGTTTAGAGCAGCAATGTCCACAATAGCCAAACTGTGGAAAGAGCCCAGGTGTCCTGTCCATGGGGGCCCAGTGTGCCATGGCTGCAAACAGTAGCCTCCTTGGTAGTGTATGCAGCCTGTTGATTGTATGGGTTGCCCTAAGGGACCTTGGAGACAGCCCTTTCCAGTGGATATTGAGGTCTGACCTCATGCTATCTCCAATCTAGGCTGCAGACAGGTATGCAGGGTGCCTTTGGAAAGTCCCAGGGCACAGTAGCCAGGGTCCACATTGGCCAAGTCATCATGTCCATCCGAACCAAGCTGCAGAACAAGGAGCATGTGATTGAGGCCCTACACAGGGCCAAGTTCAAGTTACCTGGCTGCCAGAAGATCCACATCTCCAAGAAGTAGGGCTTTACTGAGTTTAATGCAGATGAATTTGAAGACATGTGGCTGAAAAGTGGCTTATCCCAGATAGCTGTGGGGTCAAATACATCCCTAATCGTGGCCCCTTGGACAAATGGAGGGCTCTGCACTCAAGAGAACCTCAGCACTGCCCCCTCCCTATTCATGCCCACCAATAAAACCTACTTTCTGTCAAAAAAAAAAAAACCATCAACAAAACTGAAATTATATAAACTTACAATTAAATAAATTCTATTTTAAAAAGGTAAAAAAAAAAAAAAAGAGCCCAGATGTCCATCAGCAGATGAATGGATAAGAATGATGTGGTATAGCTATACAGTGGAATACTACTCAGCCATCAGAAAATGAAATCTTGCCATTTGCAACAATGTGGATGGAACTAGAGGTATTATGCTAAATGAAATAAGTCAATCAGAGAAAGACAGTTATATGATCTCACTCATGTGGAATTTAAGAAACAAAGCAGGATCATAGGGGAAGGGAGGGAAAAATAAAACAAGATGAAATCAGAGAGGGAGACAACCCATAAGAAACTCTTAATCATAGGAAACAAACTGAGGGTTGCTGGAGGGGAGGGGCGTGGGAGGGTGGGCTAAGTGGGTGATGGACATTAAGGAGGGCATGTGATATAATGAGCACTGGGTGTTATATAAGGCTGATGAATCACTGGACTCGATCTGAAACTATTAATACACTATATGTTAATTTGAAAAAAAAAAGACCCGGCTGTAGAGAGATGCATACAGATTAATTTGGACATATGATAGAGGCACAAAAACTGAGTGAGTCAGAAAGAGTCTTACCAGAGAGGGGACATTTAAGGATTAATAAGTTTTCGCTAGGTAGACCAGAATGGATGAAAGGAGTCCAAAGCAGAAAGAGGCAGACAAAAACAGGGAGGTAGAAAGGTGAATTGTGTGGGGGCACCGTGAGTCAGTCGGCAGAGCTGGAGCACATGGTATATGGGAAGGACTGTCCAGTACAAAGATGACAGGCACAGTAGCCCGCTGTTGCTGGTTGTGTGGTTGTTGTTAAAGGATCTGTGCCTTCTGATGTGAGGAATAAGATTTCTCATTTTAAGTATTCATTCTGAAGGTTATCTTTAACTTTGGGCTACTTTAGATTTTTCAAGACTTGACTCTATCCTCATCTTTTTTTTTTTTTCTTTAAGATTTTATTTACTTGGGCACCTGAGTGGCTCAGTAGGATAAGTGTCTGCCTTCGCCTCCATGATCTCAGTCAGGGTCCTGGGATCGAGCCCCGCATCGGGCTCCCTGCTCCGTGGAGAGTCTGCTTCTCCCTCTGCTGCTGCTCCCCGTGCTTGTGCTCACTCTCTCTGTCAAATAAATAAATAAAATCTTTAAGATTAAACTAATTTGACAGAGAAGAGAGAGAGAGAGAGCATGAGCAGAGGGAGAGAGAATCTCAAGCAGACTCCCTGCTGAGCACAGAGCCCAATGTGGGGCTTGATCTCACAATCCTGAGATCATGACTTGAGCTGAAACCAAGAGTTGGATGCTTAACTGACTGAGCCACCCAGGTTCCCCATCCTTATCTTTTGACCTTGGGAAGTCACTTAACCTTCCTGGGCCCCAATTTCTTTATCTGTAAAATGGAAATCATAATAACTCTTTTATAGGATTATAGTGAGGATTACACAAAACAGTAATGGAGGGGGTATGGGAGGATGGGGTATTTTATTGCCTATTTTTATTGAAGTCGTAATACTTATACCAAGCAGCACCAGCCACCAAATGTAGGGTCCATATAGTGCTGGCTATTTGTCTTTTGGGTAGAAAAAATTTTTTCTTCAATTCCGTTTCCACTAGGTTTACTTCTTTTTTTTCTTTCTTAACTTGAAACACTATGCCTCTGGGCTGCCACCTCTAGTCTTAGTCCTTTTTCCTCTTCCCTAGGGGTATCCACTGAAACTGGTTGTTTGCCAAGACCTTTTAATGTAACCTTATAATGTACTCTAATAGCTGTTAGGTTTTTGAAAGTAAATATGATAAACTCTATTTTACACTGAAACTTGGCTTTTTTTTCACCTAACTTTATGTTCAAGAGATTTGTTCAGGCTAATGCATATACATCAGTCTTATTCTTTTAAACAACTCTATGGTATTCAAAATATGAATGGCTCATAGCCATTGGATATTTTAGTTGTCTATATACATTTACTTTTACTACAGTCCTGAATGAGGTGTATTTTACATACCTTCTCTACTAACGCACATGTGTATTTCCAAAGTAGATGAGGTCTCAAGGTAATATTGTTCAGCCAAAAGGTGTGCTTCCTTGGGTTCTTCAGGGCTTTGCAATACTGCCAACTTCATGTAACCCTAACCAGTTCTCAACCAGCCTCCTTTCTCTGTTTGAATACTCCATCCCTTTATCTTTTGTAGTCTCTACTTAGCACATATTTGAGGAGGTCTAGGAAAGCTTTGTTATTTTTTTTTAGCTCTTTGGTCTCTGGAACCCATGGACTTTGTCAGTGTGGAGGGACACCTATCAATATTGTAACTAGAAAAGTTGGCAAAGGTAAAAGGTAAATTTGATGCCTTTAAGAAGTGGCTCTGATAATGTCCAAATTAATAATTTCTACTTTTGTTTTCTGATGAAATAATCAGAAATCTTAAGTTTTCTATTTTGTACAGCTAATAACAAAATAGTAGTGATTTTATATCCAGACTACTTAGTAATAATTTTCTACCTTTTTTTCTGGATGAACATTAATAATCAGAAATCTCAGTTTTTTTATTTTGTATAACTTAGAATACTGATAAAAGAATTGAAAGAATAATGATGCTAAAGCAGTAGGGCGTCAGTGAAAAATCACATGGAAAAATACTCATCTGTGATGAGCTTTAAGCCTTCTTTGCATTTTTTGAAATTGAAAATGACCCATTGTATTCTGATGGAGCTTGCAGTGAGACCAAAGGTAATGGTAATTTTTACTTCTATGAGTGGAACTATAATCTGGGGGAATGCTTTCAGAGCAAGACCACTAATTCTTATCTCCTTTGTAGGAAGAGAGAAAATTTTCAAAGACTGTGCAAGGGAAGGTACAGAGCAGTTATCTGCACTCACTTCTGGAAATTGGAGAGCTGCTGAAAAAAAGACTGGAGACCACGAAGAAACTAAAAATTTAAGGAGGCGTGAACCACAGGCACCAATGACTCTATAGCAGAAAATGACATCATCTTCCCAGGCAAAAGCTACATCTGGTTGACCATCATTTTAATCCAGAACTTCCTCATAAAATGCATGAAGGACTTTGATTGTGAATTAATTTTTTAGGTATTAAATGTATACAACTGATTAAATTATTGTATATAAAGAAGCAGGACCCTCATCTGGGTTTGACCACTTTTTATACATGTTCATATGCATATGGCAGCCACAAGAGAGCCCCTTTTCTTCTTTCCTCCCATCACCAGAAACATCTGGTGGGTGGGTACAGGGGGTCCTATAAAAGCAGCAATAGAAATTAAGCATAAAGCATTGACCTCAGAGCAGCTGAATGGGCCTACCATTATCATAGTGGATGTTTGGTCTGGTCCTTGAGCCTTAGGAAGCAGAAAGCAGAAGTATAGGCGGACCATGACTGGGAGAAGGCCCTCTTTCCACATTAGTTTAGTTTTGAGGCTTCCTTAGCTGCTTGGCTCCCACAGAACCCAAAGCAGGTACCCAAAGAGCCTCAGATGAAATTTGGCATAAGCACCTGTCACTGAAGAGCACCACTCAGATGACCACGGGCACTCAGTGTTTGGCTTCATGGTCCAAAAGCCAAGAAATCCCCATCGTAGCTCCTGTGAAAGTTAAATCACAGATAGGCTTGTGTTAACTTACACCATATGGAGGGGAAAGCAGTGCAGACCACTTATGAGCCTGCTGAGGACTAGCTTGCTGTCTTCTCCATCTTTGGGAAAGATGGGAATCACTGTTTTAACGAAGAGAGGTGTACATAATTTATGCAAGCAAGTCTAATACCAATGTCATTGGTTTTGTGAGATATATATATATGTATATGCTTTACATATATATTTTCAAGCATATATATATATATGCTTGAAAATAAAGATTTAATACTTTAGTGTTTTTTAGGTGGGGGGTTTGGGGAGGAAGGAAGGAATGTATATTATGGACTTAACCTAGGTTTTAAGTTTTAGGCTGGCAAAAGAAATGTTACCCATTGGGTTTGACGTTTGGTCTACTTTCTTCAAACTTGAGGATTACACCAGGATGGTGTTTACATTGCTCACCTGGAGCTCCCCAAGACTATAGCTTCAGAGGTTGGTCTGACAGAAAAGATAAACATTGCTCTTGAAAGTGTTATACAGTTTATATAATTGCTTTGATAACTTTTTGCATTTGAATCTGTGCTTCTATTTTTGGTCTTTGTTACTCAAACACCATTAAAGTTAGTAATTGTAAGAGCAAAGATACGAGTTTTATGAGAAAATTCAAGCATCTGGTGGAGGGTTGATTGGTCTTAAAAGACCTTACAGGTCCTTTCCTACTCCTCCAGTGAAATGTGATACTTTTTTCTTTTAAAAGGAAACAAAAGAGAGCTTGGAAAATCTCTGTATGCAAAACAATTGCATTTTGTCCCCTCATCATGACTTTCTTAGATTCACAATTTGATAGGGTGATTGATAGCTGCTTAAACTTCCAAGGAGATTTTTAAGAAAATTACTACATTATCTGTTCAAAATAAGACTTGCTGGAAATCCTAGTCCATCAAGTAATTTCAAGAAGTTATTTTTTGCTGTTAAGTTGGTACCCACAGCCATCATACCCCATCCCAAATGGAAGAACTGCCTTCAACAAGATGAATTGAAAATTCTTATTGATTCCAAATCTAATTTAATGACATCATAATTTCATAAAACTATTGCCTATTTAAAATGATGGAACTTGGTGTGTGTATGAGGGTGGGGGGTATGTGTGTATGGCATGTGTTCTTGAAATGATGTTTCTTTGAATATCCAAAAATACTGTACATAGAAATAGAAATGCTCCATGAAACAAGTCTTCAGCTGACCATGGTCAATCTAGCATATGTGTGGTCAGTGAGCTGGCTTTGGTCCTCAGGGACAGTGCTTGACTCCAGTGGTCTACCTAACTAGTCTTTTGCCTAGGGGCACCTGGGACCTCTCCTGGTTTTAGTGACAAATAATGTTATGTCGAGGTTATGCTTCCTTTGTTACTTGCTGACTTTCCTACTAAATGTAGCATTTCAATTAGATCCAACCTCTTACATTTTGGGATAATTGTAAAAAGAATGAAATTATGCAGAAATGGCCAATATCTTTTATTGATCTGTTCTTTTGGAAACTGTTATGCACTATAAATTGTGTACAGTTTAAAAAAATATATATATATATATATTCTTACATGAGTAAAAAGCACCCTCCAGCAATTGTATGTCATTGGTATTTGAAGAGAATTCCCAAATAACCCATTGCTGCTGCTGCTGTTTTTGGTTTGTGTGGGTTTTTTGTTGTTGTTGTTGTATTTGTTTTTGTGTGGTAAATTGATAATTTAAAAAAAAAAGAAAGAAAAAACACGACTACTGTTTACAGACTGAAAAATTACTGCTTTTTATACTACTGAGATCCTAAGTTAAGACTCTCCAAAGCAAACATTTGGTTTAAATCATTGATGTGGATAAAGCATAGAGAAATTTTTAGTGTTCTTCACATAATGGAAAATGTACAAATGCCTAGCTGTGTTGCCCATCAATTTTGTATATTTTCATAATTTTAATTGTTCAAAATTGCATTATATTTTGCAGTCACTATGTTCAACCTGGATTTGTCTTTCATTTAAATTTTTAATATAAAAAGGGGTTTCAATGTATCTATGGCCTTGTTATTGAAACTCTTCCTACTTATTTGATGTCATTTATTAATATGGGAAGTATATATTCTTCCTTCTTCAGAACTAAGTGAAGCATACATAGCCAATTCAACTAGATGGGTTAATTTATATAAACACTTCCATTTTAAGTTGGCATTTCTCCCTGGGTCACTTCTGTTTGGATTCCTAGAAGCCACAACCTTTTAAATGATGTAATTCATCTCAGTTTTGTACTGAGTGTTATATTCCTTCACAAAATTGTAGTATTTGTGAATTTAAGATTTTTATTCCAAGGCCACTGGCCTTTTTGTTTAAAAGTAGTACCTCACATGCTAGCATTCACGAATTCAACATATACGTACTGGACACTTCTTTACACTTTAGGCTCTGCTGATACAGTGGTAAATTAGAGCACACATCCTAGTTAGTGGTTCAAGTGGGGGAGGAGATAAGAAAAAGAAACATTAGTTTGTAAGTCCTGTTTTAGGTAAATCAGAGTGTGTGATAACCTGGGCCCATCTGACCTGACTGATGAAGAGTCAACAACCGAGAAAGGAACCTAAGTGCAGAGGCCCCAAGGCAGGAATTACTGAGCATGTCCCAATGAATGACGAAAAAGGGTTCAAGTGACTGGGCTTAAAGGAGTCAAAAGGGGGAAGGAAACAGGGTAGAAAGTACAGTGGCAGGGGTGTGTGTGTGAGAGAGCAGTCAGGACTTCATAGACGGGAAGCAATGAGCTTTCTAAATTTAGTGGGAAGTTACTGGAGGATTTCAGGCTGCTGATACGATTAATCCAAGAGTACTTGGGCCCACAGGCTGAGATCAAAAGTTGATTCGCACATACTGACAGTAAAAGAGGAGCTCCTAGTTTCCTTTCTGTCCTGTACTATTAAATGCCCTTGTCTGTGCCCTGAGAAAAGTGTGCTTTTGCCTGCTACTCCATCTCAGCATTCTTTTCCCGTTATAAAAGGTGGGTACTTGGATGTAGAGCATGTGTGTGTGCATGTGCACAGCGGAGAAGCAGAGGGAGGGAGAGAGAATCCCAAGTAGACTCCGTGCTGATCACAAGCCTGGTGTGGGGCTTGATCTCACGACCCTGAGATAACAACCCGCACCAAGACCAAGACTTTGCCGCTCAACCGCCATTTTTAGTCTAACCCCAAAAGGTGGGCTCAGGTTTATACTTTTTCTTCCATTTTTAGATGCCGTCACTGCCTTGATCCCGACACATATTTCACAGTAACAACTAGAAGGTAAGCAACCATGGGCCAAATGCTTATAAAAATTATTTGTGGGGTACCTACAGCAATTTATACATGGAACCACAGAGCTCTCTTGCAACCTCCAGCTTCCGTGTATCCCAGTAAAAGTACTATTTCACATACATGAGAAAGGAAGTTACTGCAGGTAAGGCTATCACCTAAGACTACCTAGTGAGGTAAGGGTTACAGAAGATTTAAACCCTTAAGCATTACCATCCCCAACCCACTATCTTCACATTCTTAGTCTTGATGGCCACATTCAAATTCCCAGATTCTGTCTTGGTTATTTATTGAAGAATCAATCTTTCCTCAATTAATTCTGATGCCAGCTTTTTTAGTGGCACCAATTGCCAAGGATTATTTGAGGTAACTCACAAGTTCCTCAGAATGAGGTTCTTTATGTTGGATCCAGGGTCTCATTTGCTTCAGGTTATCTACAAATTCCCGAGAAATTGTCTATACTTGTTTGATTCTGGGAAGCCAGTCCATAGCCTTCCTTGTAGTCTGATTAGTAGCATCAATATTATTGTGAGCCACAATATTATTTAATTAGAGGAAGAGGAGGGAAGGAATCCATTTGACCTAAGTGTAAAGGAAGATTTAATTTTATGTGGCATATGCCAGTCACTTCAGACTCTAGAGGGAGCATCTTTAATGAAAAATATTTGATAGAAAGAGCTTCTGATAGGATAATCTAGCTCTGCCCAATGGCTCTTCAAGTGAAGACCCTAGACTTATAAATAATAATACTCAGCCTGGACTCATCCAATGAAGTACCCATTGATGTGCTGCCACCTTTCACAACTGACGGGATCACATTCAGGGACTGTGGATGCATGTACTTCCCATAATGACAGGAAATGCTTAGTTCTTTGGAAGTGAACCTGTTTTATACAGATGAGAAAAAACTAGAACAGCTAAACAAGGTTATCAGTGAGAAGTATCCAGAAAGATCTTCCAAAATTTTCAATTAGAATGAAACGAGTAGGGGAAATACTGAAATATATACAGAGTTACATCCTTTTCTCAAATGTTGAGAGTACCTATGCTGGTTACCGGCAGGTGTTTAGGTCTGAACATATTTTTTTTAGATTTTATTGGGGGGGGGAGGGGCAAAGGGAGAGAGAATCTCAAAGCAGACTCTGCGCTGAGCATGGAGCCCGACTTGAGACTCCATCCCATGACCCTGAGATCATGACCTGAGCCGAAATCCAGAGTCAGACGCTCAACCCACTGAGCCACCTAGGTGCCCCTGAACATCTTTTACTTAGTTGGTTTGAATTGTGAGCCTAAGCTACCACAATTGTTTTTGTTCCATCCAATTCAACACATGGATTTTCCTGCATTTTTGGTTTCCAGTGACTTTAAATACCAATCTGGCTGAAATGGAGGAACACAGACAAGTTAAGGTTTTATGTGCTAACTCCGTTCAACTCAAATTTGTGTGGCTGTAATAATAAATATTTTAGGAGCTGCACTTTGGTATTTCCAGGTAGCTAAATATGAAAGTGGAGATGGTATCATGAACCTTACCATTGCAGGTAATTGCTTGTCACTCCTGAAAACAGATTTTAGTCAGTACAATGGTCTCCCATTCCGCTTCTTTAATATTGGTACTTACTGAGTAAGTGACAGTGACAAAGTAGCTTAGATGGAAAACAACCCCTTTTAAAAAAAACTTTCAAATTAGACTGAATTCTATTATTTTGCTATCTAAATCCAACTCAAAAAAAAAAAAAACCCATCTGATTTTATCAGTAAAACTAAGAATTTGGGCTCTCTTTTTTTTTAAAGCTCCGTTTTTTTTTTTTTTTTAAAGATTTTATTTATTGGACAGAGACAGACACACAGAGAGAGGGAACAGAAGCAGCGGGAGAAGGAGAGGGAGAAGCAGGCTTCCTGCTGAGCAGGGA